TATAAACATCCGAAAATTATGGCAATTATTAGATTGATAGATTTTGAAAAGGTGATCTTATTTCCGCTTCAAAATTTTGTGAAAAATCGGGTTTGTTTAGAGGTTTCATATCATTGAAGGCCTTTGTAAAATGATACATGTTAATGTGCTGGACATTGGGATTCTCTTCCATTGCGTGTAACGCGGCCTCCTGACATAATGCGACGACCTTTTTCGGAAATAAAAATATATAAATTATATTATATTCATCGTTATAATTTAAATAATTTTCTAGAAAAAGGATAACTAATATATTATAAATTTTTTTATTATTGAATGAAGATTTTATTTTTATTTAGAAATGATTATAATTTATAATAAGAGTTATAAGCTATATAAAAATAAAATATATTTTTAATAAAAATAAAAAGAATATATTTTAAAAAAAATTTTATAATAAAAAAGATTATGGCACCATGGATTAAAATACTATGTGACCTACAAATTTCCATTGAAATTCGTTCAAGTAGGTAAAAACCTTCCTGAGGACACCCGAAATTAAGCGCATTAAAAAATCCCGAGCTTTGGGTCCAAAAGCACCGATTGTGTTAAAAACAATGGGATATAAAGTGTGATATAAGGAATGTTAAAATATTTATTTATTTTTCTAATATCCGCTATAACTAAAGGATGGTGCAAACCGATCAATGAATGTATAATCCCAGGCTAGCGAAATTCCCTTGGTCCATGGAATAAGTGTCATTCCCTCAGGCCTGATATTGTCTTCGTGATTAAGTCTTACAGGTTCCAAAATTGATTTAAATATTGGCTGAACGGAGAGCTCAGCAATAATCCAATTTACTGCTTGGTGACGTGGATGGTGGTCATTTAAGAAGCAGTAGTGAAGAGGGTGATGGCCTAGAATGTCGACAGGGAGCGATAGAATTTGCAAGATAAGGGTGTATCACAGCCTAAACGAAGGTCTATTCTTATCCGAAGTCCCTCGTTAGAAAGAAGCAAACCAAGGTTGGAGCTAGGGATAGCCATGAGCTTAAGTTGAAATGTTGAATTGAAGGAGAATCACTACTTTGATTTATTGGGAAGGAGATATGTGGGTCAAAGATCGAAGGGCCTTTCAAAGCATCGTTCGAGTAAAGGAATTCAAAGGAATGCTGGATTAAGGGTAAGTCCAAATCTTTTTGTCTGGAGTATAGGCAAGGGAGCGTTTAACTTCCATAGGTCTAGTATCAATCCCAGATGAGGATCTGTAGTGGTGGTAAAAATGTTAATAATTGTTTGAGTTTTGGTGTATGGTGAGAGAAAAGCTGTAATACTCAGTGATGCAGGAGATCGAAAGCCTATACCCTCAAATTTGCTTGGAAGAGCATTGCATCCAGTAATTGGGCGAGAATTTGAGGTTGAGTATTGATTGAAATCAGATTTTAATAAGTTTCAACTCTAGTAACATAAAAGAGGAGCAGAACGAAAGTGCAATATTTATGGAATGTAAAAGCTTTAGGAGAAATGATGAGATGGTATAATAGGATTTTCTGAAGTCGGTCAAATTTAATCAGGAAGTTCTCACTAAATTTGGATATTGCTGCTTTGCATCCAACAGGTGAGCCTAGATGATAAAATATTGATTTCTCGACTAGAGAAAAGTTTTCTGAAATGGGATAAAAATTGTTTGGTATATAAAATTTGCATTTTTTATGATTGAGGGTAAGACCAGTAATTGAAGTGAGATCCGAAATGATAGAGGGAATTTTAACTAATTCATCGTAAAATCTTACAACCGCTCCAAGTCCCATATGCTTAAAATGACATTGCATTTATTGTTGATGCAGTCCATGATGAATAGCCTCATAGAAGATGGCTGGGCCCAATTGGCTCCCTTGTTGTATTCCCTGCCGGGATTCTTTAGTTGTTTCATGAAATTTCAATAAGACCTAAGGCCATAGCAGGCTAATATGTATATTCATTGGGTAACATTAGTTTATAACGGTTTTCCTAACAACTATATATTAAAATGTAAAGATAATAATAAAAAATTGAAAAAATTATTCAAACTTTAGAAAAAAATGATATTCAAGTCAGATGGAAAAAAATTCCTTATAAATTGTTAATATTTTAATACTCTTACACCTTAATTAAAGTAAGCACGATTTCTCAAGCAATGTGAAATTATTATGTAGGTACCAAAGCAGCTAAAAATAGGTATAATATAATGTTTGAATACGGAATGAAATGATTATATCGTGCCAGCTGTTTACGAATTTATCACTTGCGATTTCGCCAGTGATTAATTTCGCATCGAATGAGCAAATTACGCTTGCTATAAATGCAGCGTTATACATACCTCTTAAAAATTGATAACTTAAAAGTCTCATTTTTTAAATCAACATTCCTTCCTACTCCCCTTCCCTTACCCCCAACAAATAAAAATTTCAATTAATAATATAAACCTCAGCGCCCGAATAGCCATCCGTTTTAAGGGCGATATCATCCAAGCAAACTTCATTTGTATCTATTGGCATTTTATCGAATTTGATTCTCAAAATTTCCTTCCTAGATGACAGGTCGGGTAAGGGTACGTATATAATTTTACCTAAACGACCGGGTCTTAATAGAGCCTGAATATATAAACAAATATTTCATATAAAACTGATAGGTAAAATTGATTCATGTGAATATAAATCATAATTAATTGTTCTAGTATTTCTTCGGTGTATAAGAGCTTTCGCAGAATACTTTACATATCACAACAAATATAAGATAATAAAAAGTATTGGCAGTATCGACTACTACCTTGAAAATATTGTCTAAAAAAGTCTTGGAATAATATTAAAAATATACAATAAATTGCAATCAAGATATAATAAATAGCTATCGATTGATACCTATAATGAACATTTATTCTTTCCTAAGGCCAATAGAGCACAACTTAAAATAACTGGATTTGTGCTAGTGGTTCGTGTTCAGAACAAATATTTTTTATAGATTCTAAAAGAGGGAGAATAAAATTTCATTTTAATATAATATATTGGCCATTCCCCCAGATAATAAAAGAAAAAAACACATAAATTTTGCCAAAGTAAATCCAATTAGAGATCTGCAAAGTTAGACTCGGCCAGTGCCCGGCCCAAACGGGCTTAATTCTATTTAAAATAATCGGGTTCGGGCCGGGTTGAATATATTTTAAAAAAATTCGGGCCGGCTCGGGTCGGACCTGGAAATTTTTTTTAAATATATATAAATTTCTCAATTTTATATTGAATTTTTTATGTAAAATAAAAATATTTGATTCTATTTATTGAAACTAAACGACATATAACAAATTTCTTTTATTTTGAGTAATTATAAAAATTAATTTCTATATTTAAATAAATTCGGGCCGGACCGATAAATTTTTTTTAAAAAAATTTCGGGTTCGGGCCGGCAAAACATTTTTAAAAAAATTTCGGGCCGGGCCAGGCTTGAAAAATTAGGTCCGATGCAGATCACTAATTTAAGTATTGAGGTGATAAACTCATAAATTCCAAGGTAAAGATTTTAGAATTTTTAGGATATACACATAAATGGGATATTCATTTTTCTTCCAAGATTACTTATTATATTTTTAACAGAACTAAATTATTTTAATAACATTGAGGGGTTACTATATATAGTTCTATAAATAGGAACAATAGGAACTAACGAGTAGGAAAGCTTAATTGTCTTCTCAACATAGTATATTAAGAATCGTAACAAATGTGATGATATATATTAAAATTTTTATTTATTAAACAAACTATTATATATAATTATACACATATGAAAGAAAAGGTAATATAATATCCATTTAAAATATACATATACAAACGTCATGATTTTAGCCAAATAAATATTACGTGTTTCTGGAGTTAGCTGAAATCTCAATTTAGCTATTTTTAAAAAAGCCTTTTAATAAAATGAATAATAAATTTAAATTATTAATAAATTAAGCTCAAAGAAGCCTATTAGCAAAAATATTTAAATTTATAGATATTTTCCATTTATTAAATCCATTTCTAAATAAGCGATATCCTTACATTTCTATTCTTGTCTCTCTAAATGATGTTTGAATTAAAAATTTGATTATAAATACTGGTATACCTGACAAATTATTGCCATATATCATTAAGCAGAAATATTATATCTATGTCATAGGAAGAAAGCGATATGCACCTTAGCGTTGAGGGAGCAATCCTGTTCCATAGTTTGGTCATAGTATTACCAGCCTGATATAAAGTTTTTTCCAATGCAACTCTTCGCCAACATTGCTAAATGAGGAAAATAATCAGCATTCCCTTTCCAACAATTTAATATATTCGTTAACTCGGACTTGAGTGGCTTGTCCAGGTTGGTTATTAATTCGCTATCATCATTATTACTAAATATTATTTTTCTAAATATGGACAAATATAATAGATTATGTATATATATATATGTTAGCGTCAATGTGTTTATTCCGGCAATGTAATATTTTTTTCAACTTTATATTGTTTTTTGAGCGCGTTTTTTTAAATTTAAATGATTTTACCAGAAATGTATAGACTATTTTTCCATTAACTTTCAAGCTTAATATAATTTATATTAATATATTTTTTATATAAATTCTTAATGACTCAAAAGTTAACAGCAAATTGTCTACAATTCATAAGATAGGTATTCTAAACATGATGGAATATATTTCCGGTAAAATCAGATTTTTAGATTTAAAAAAACGCGATCAAAAAAATAATTTAAAGTTGTAAAAATAACATATTGCCGGAAAAAACGTTGATGCTAACATATATATTCTATCAAAATTGAAGAATATACCATTGATTATTTAATAAATATACCTTTATTTTCAATCCCTGCAATATTGAAATGGTTTTAAGAATTGAGGGATTGTTATTATTATTATTATTAAATTTTATAAATCAAAATGGCCTCGACATGTATTTTGCAAAGTTTTCTTTGAAGATAGCCGTCTTCCTTTAAATTAGTAATTACGGTATTTTTTATCCTAGGATCAAGTAAGGATACTGCGTAGTTATAAGGCGTGTTTAAATATATGCTATATTCCTTCTTTAGCTTTATTGATGGTGCTTCTTTTATAGAACAATCTGAATGAGCCATGGAGCAGTAAAAAAAAATATAATTTAGCAAGTTTTATATTGATTTTATATTCAGCCAGTTAAATTATTATAATAGGCATTTACTTCAGTAAATAATTTTTATCAAATAGAGGAAACCAGGTTTGCACATTTCCTATTTTGCCACAGAATTTAAAAAGTCTCTTATCTCCACCTGATAAAAATTTTTATATTTCTAAAAACTTCATGGAAATTATTAATAATTTGTGTAAACATAAATATTTTTTTTTAAAAAAAATTTGATTTTCAATAAATAACTACAAGTTGATGAAAATATGTAAAGGTGAACTAGATTTATTTAACTTTCGGTTAATTTTTACCTTAAATCTTCGAGGGAATTTGAATTCAAAAAACATTTTGATTTAATTAAAGTAGTGCAGATCTGGGTCAAAAAATGGTATGAATTTATAAATCGGAGCCAAAATAAAAAATCTGGGATGGCCATTGTAATTACGTTAGCTTATAATAATATTTTGCTTAATATCACAGACGCTAATCCAATTCGTTTATTTTATAAGTAATGTTTTGTTTAATTTTCACCAAACCTGGGTTAGGGATAAGGCCACAACATTATACATTATATTGTTTAGGGTTAATTAATAACAATTTAAAATTTTGGTTAGGTTTATTAATCACTAGTTATTATTCATAATTTGTTTAACAATTTTATTTGGAAAATTTTTACAGGAATTTGTTTTTATTTTTTTGATTTTCTCAAAAATTTTATTTTATTTGGGGATTTTTTTTTCCTGTTTGGTTAATTTTCTAAATATAATTTTTTATAGGGTCTAAAAAACGGAGAATTTTTTGGGGAATCATTTTCTGTGGGAATTTTTTTACGGGTAATTAATTTCTGGGGATTTATTTTTCGAGGATTTTTTTTTCTAGGGAATTAATTTCCTAGATTCATCTCAACTAATTTTATTTATTATAAAAATTTAGTAAAATGTAGGCATTATAAAATATACGGGAATATTTTTTGTTTAGCGAATCTGAAGAAACATCTCATATCTGTGCAACCCAAAATATTCGGATATGTCACAGGAAGCGATTTATGATTCGATGGGAAACGGCAGCCATTATTGCATGAAAAGACCAATAATTCGTTTAGCATCATAGATAAGAAGCTTTTAAAACGATATTCTATTATATAAATAATAATATCATGCTATGGTGTAGAATACGATTAAAAAACCCTAGGAAATGTGTATCAATTGGCTAAAAAAATCTAATCGAAAAATTAGGCAATCTAATCGGTTTTCGATTACGACTGATATTTGGACAGCCAATAATAACACATCCTTTTTTTTGCCTTGACATTACATAACATAAATGAAAATTCGGTGTCTATAATCTTGTTTTGAATATAATATCCTTTCCTTACCCACACAGGAGAGGGAATTTATACACTTATTTTATAATCATTAGATGATTTTAAATTAAAAGATAGACAATTGACTATGACATATGATAACGGGACTAGTGAGGTCAAGGCAGTAAAACTGCTGAAAGATTATTATGCCTCATATTACTCAACAATTTTATATGAGCATCGTTCCATGGCCGACATCATAAATTTAATCGTAAAGGTGGGCCTTAAATATTTTGAGGCAAAATTAATAAATATAGAAAAGATAGTTTCAAAATCACATAGCTCACCAAAATTTACGCAATCCTATAAATCCATAAGTGGAGTAACAAAAATACCTCTTGCTTAAACGAGATGGAACAGCAAATACCTTATGATATCCACATTAATAAGGTAATAATTATTGTGTATTTATAATTTTTTTTCTTAATATTATCTATCTAGAATATTGATCCCAGTCATCAACTCAGCGAATAAGATCCAATAAGGGAAGATATTACGCCTACTCCTGATGATAGCTCGTTCTTCATAGAGTTGGAGGAATTTTTATTAACCATTTATCAAATAACAGTAGACATATCAGCGCAATCTCCCATAATCGGGATATTATTCTTTAATGATATATTGCCAAATTTGAAAATCAAACGGTGGCTCTATTCCATAAAAGCATCATCCAAAATGTTAAAAAAATAGGAAGATTATAGCGAATATATAAACATACCATTTTTAACTACACAGTGTCTTTACTTGATCCTAGGATAAAAAAATACCTTAATTAATAATTGAAAGGAAGACGGCTTACTTCAAAGAAAACTTTGCGAAATAAATGTCGAGGCCATTTGATCCATAAAACTTATATCCCTCAAATCTTAAAACCATTTCAATATTGCAGAGATTGAAAAAAGGTATATTTGTTAAATAATCAATGGTGTTCTTAAATTTTTATAGAATAAATATATATATAAACTATGATATTTTAAATTTATCTATATTTAAAAAAGTAGCATCAAAAGGAAATAATGAGTGAATTAATGAGATACCTGGATGAACCACTAGATCCCGAGATATATTAGATTGGCGGATAGGGTATGCTAATCGTTTTCCTTATTTAGCAATGATGGCGAAGGACTTTTTATGCCAATAGACAAGGTCGGTGGCACCGGAAAGAACTAACAATGCATATCGCTTTCTTCTTGGGACCTAGACATAATGTCTCTTCGTGATGAAATATAGCTATAATTTATCAGGTATACCAGTATATGTATATGTAATCATATTTTTAATAATCAAACATCATTTAGAGAGGTAAGAATATCGCTTATTTAGAAATGGATTTAATAAATGGAAAATATATATAAATTTAAATATTTTTGCTAATAGGCTTTGAGCTTAATTTATTAATAATTTAAATTTATTATTCATTTTATTAAAAGGCTAAAATGTAGCCTATTTTAAAAACAGCTAAATTGAGATTTCAGCTAACTCCAGGCATGCGTAATATTTATTTAGCTAAAATCATGAGTTATTCTTATTTAAAAATCTGCTAAATTCGAGACGGATATTATATTACCTTTTCTTCCATATGTGTATGTTAATTATATATAATAATTTTTTTTAAAAATTATTAAATATCATCACATTAATTACGATTCTTAATATACTATGCCGAGAAGACAATAAAGCATTCCTACTCGTTAGTTCCTATTTATAGAACTATATATAGGAACCCATCTTTCAATGTTATTAAAATAATTTCGTTCTGTTAAAAATATAATAAGTAATCTTGGATGAAAAATGAATATCCCATTAAAAAAGTGTATATATCCTAAAAATTTCTAAAATCTTGCCCACCTTGAAATTTATGAGTTTATCACCTCAATACTTAACGGTATTGGACTTACTTTAGTAAAATTTATGTGTTTTTTTTTCTTATCTGGAGGAATGGCCAATATATCATATCAACATGAAATTTTATTCTCCCTCTTTTAAAATCTATAAAAATAAATAATGTTATACAAATTATAATTATGGTCAATTAAATTATCGGATACATCCGAATATAAAGTTTCTATGATATGGAACATATTCGAGTCTCACATCTAAATTTTTAATAAATAACCGAAAAAAATGATATATTATATTTTTAAACAATTTTTTGCCTTATAAAATTGGAAAAAAAACAGGCAAGATGATATGGACCTAGCTCAATTTATATTATTTAAAACATTTTATTTAATATCTGAGCTGGACAATATTCTTAAAATATTTATTTAAAAATTTTTTTTCAAAAAACAAGTAAAAAATATACATGCATAAAGAAGGACGAATGTGGAGTAAACAAAAAAGGAAAAAATAAATTCAATTATCTTGGTTGGGAAGGAATGAACTATATAAAAAATATAATTTTTTTAAAAAAAATTTTTATCAATTTTTTAATAACAAAAAATAAACATGATTCTCTATCATTTCTTAACGAAAAGAAAGCATGATTTTAGAACATGTATGGAGAAAAAATTTGAATTTTATACGATAAATTTATTTTAAATTCCAGACCCTCCTTCCCTCCCCTAGATAGATTTTTCGTGGTACATCGAAAAAGTCCCACTTAAAGAAATAATTTTATAGTGAAAAGATATTTTAATTATCTTATATTGGTATAATACCCATATTGATATATAATGTGATTATAAAAATATTCCTGCCCTCAAGGACCTAAACCAACATAATAATTATTTTGTGTTGTTAAAAATATTCCTGACCACTCAGGATCTAAACCCGCTAACTTAGATTAATAATTATGACTAAAATCAAGATATAAATAAAATACCATTTATTTGATACCCATATCAATATTTTGTGTAGATATAAATATTCCTGACCAACCCCCCCCCCTCCCCCAGATGTACCTATCGAGCTTGACTTCCTATAAAATAGATCTTTTGATTAACTATCGATTGATACCTATATAAAATACATATATTTTTTTTCTTTCTTAAAATAATTGGGTTTATGCTCAGGATCTGGGGATTCGTACTCATGGTAGGTCTGAACATTAAATTGGGTAGTAATTTTTATGACCAAGCAAATTAATATACTAGGTTAGATGGTATTTAGTTCTCATTAGGCCTGTACTTCAATTTCCGAATTTTAAATAAAACCAAAAAAATTTCATTATAAATTATTAAATATTCTACGAAAATTTAGGGATAATGAAAGCAGGATTGGCACCCATACATAATTGGTTTGTCTCAAGATCAAAAATAAGAGGCTGGCAGTTCTTTGTACCAATGTCTACATTGCAAAAGTTAATCCCGGTGGAAGGTAATTACGCCAGGTCTTAAAGGATGGGGATGCAGTCTGATAAATCCATGGGATACACTTATTGAGATGGATCCTTCTAGTGAAATAAAGGATATTAGTAACATTCTAATGGCTAGAAAAGTTATATGGGATACTCTAGAATAGGCAATTATAATTTTCCCATCATTACCAAATGATATCCCGATTCTAGATACGATTATCCCTCATAGAAGCGTCGACATCAGGATCCATACTATTAGCGGGGTCCCTATTAAAATTTATTCGAGGGACCCAGCTAATAGTATGGGTAATGAGTGGAACGTGGCCCAAATCTATATAGTTTTCAAGTCAAAAGCTAAATAATTACCAAGAATCCTCCAGGAGGGTAATATTATTTAGAGATATAATAGTTGAATTCCGATATTACAATGTAGTTGTTATTTAAGAATGAAATATTGTAACAATACCAACTAATTATATTATTATACACCAAAAAAAACTGCAAAAATAACTTTATCGATTTTATCGATTCTATTGGTAGCGGCTAAGACGAAAACATTTTCCATCTTCTCAATTCCATCCATTTCGGTCAAAAGTTGCGTTAAGACTCTATCACCGACATGGGAATTTCTAAGATTTCCAAAAATTTATTATTTAAAAATTACATAATTACGATATTTTACCATTTAGCATTATTTTAAATTTCATAACCTATCATAAAAGAGGATTCAGTATTAAATCAATGACTAAATTTTCTATAAGTGTCTATCTATCCCTCAATAATTCCATATTTCTTCTTTATATCTATTTTACATTATTTAAAATGATTTTTTTGGGTATAATAAAAAAATCATATTATTATTATGGGGTTCTCTAAATTTTATTCGAACAATTTTTAAGGAGAGAAATTATTTCTAAACCAAGCAATCTGGTTAACTATAAAGAACTCTTGTTTTATTATATTAAAAAATAATTTCTCGGATTTTCCTTGATCATTATCTCATCTCTAATGCATAATTTTATGCAAATTTGAGTAACTTCTATTCTAAATAGAAACTAGTCACGTCACTTCTAACAATTCCGACATATTTTTTCAAAAACTAAATGCCTAAAAAAAATTTCTTTTTTAACTTGTCATTTGATCTTTCAACGGCTATGGCATCTATTTCATCGAAAAATATGATAGAAGGAGATACTGTCTTGGCCTTGCTAAAAATTTTTCTTAGCATTTTTTCGGAATCTCCTACGTATTTGCTAAACAGCTCTGGCCCCTTGTGTTATACATTAAATAACGAATATTTTAATAGCCAATAAAAATATTTTGATATTTCATATTTTGAATTTTAAATTATTGCGTTTAAAATATTATAATTTAAATATATATTTATATATGCATCATTACAAACTAGTAAAGTATTATTTAAAACTTAAAAGTGTATCATGTCAAACCTGTAAAAAATTATTTCAAAAGCTGCTAATATCAATTTTAATAAGTAAAATAAGTTTAAATGATACTTTTTAGTGGAATCTGATGAGAAAAATGTCCAGATCGGGAAAACCAAAATCATTTTTTAAAGGATTTTTAATAAGGAACAAAAATATTAAGAAATAAAACTTGTTTTTATAATTGTGACAAGATTATTTATATATATGGGGATGGGGTGGGGGGGGGGGTATATATTAAGATTAATTAAAAAAATTAGGTTCAAAAAATTTGCGAAATGGGTAAATGGTGCTGAACATACATATAAACCTTGACGGAAAAGAAGTTGAGGCCGCTTTGAGTAGCGAGGGCTTTAGCTATCATAGTCTTGGAACAGCCAGGTGGCCCATGGAGCAATATACCGGTGCTGGGGTTAAGGCCCATTCTTTGCATAGCTTCGGGATATTTGAGTGGCCATTCAATGGCTTTTATCAATTCTTGTTTAACCCTTTCCATCCCGCCTATGTCCGACCATTGTACCTATCATACATACATATTTATATACCATACTTTTTTTTTATTAAATGATAATTAGGATCAAATTGCTATATATAAATATCAGGGACCCAAACCGTTATTTATAACGGTTCAGTTTGGTTACGGTTCAATATGTAAAAAATATAATGGTTACATTTTGGTTACGGTTCTTAAGAAGAAATTTATAAAGGTTCGGTTCGGTTCAGCTAATTATAAAGATTTATAAAGGCTCATTACGGTTAGGAATTTTTTTTATTGAAGAAACACCATCTTCTAATCTATTTTTATTATAAGCATCTATGAATTATATATAAAAAAAATATTTAAGATTCAAAATAACTCATTTTTAAATATATTATTTGAACGTATAAGTAATATATTTTCTAATATAAATGGATTCCCTTTTGTTCGTTGTGACGATAACACAAATTTTAGCCCCGAAAAAGCCCTTTCTACAAAAACTTGTGTTTCGGGAACCGATAATACTATAAGAGCAAGTTTATATAATTCTGAATATTCAAATTATTTCCATTTCTAAAATATAAAAACTGAACCGGTTTAATTGTTTTTATAAAGGTTCTTTTTACTCCTTCAAAAAATAATTATATCGGTTCGGTTACGGTTCAGATATTTATAACGGTTTATAATGGTTTAACGGTTCGTTACAGTTCACTCAGGGTCCCTGATAAATATCCATCCTTGAATTATTCAATAATATATTATTAGTATGGTTATTTCTAAAAAATAAAAATTTTATTATGAAGCTAATTACAATCCGAAAAGAAAAAAATTCAAATACATAATTCTTATTTTATTTCATCATTTGGCATTCATTTTGTAACTTTTTTAAAAAAAAATCTTCAAACTTTTACTTTTAAAATTCAAAAAATTTTAGGCCATGTCTTGGGTTGACTTAATTCTGATACTTAATTGCTTTTTAGAATAGGCTAAAAAGCTTTTGAACTTGGACACCCTATTTCGGTTTGTATTAAGTATCTAAAATTGTTTTTTTTCGTATTTTATTCTCGTTTTTCTTTTACTTTTTGCGTTTTTTTTTAAATTTTTATATCGCTTTTTTGGCTATTTAGTATTCGACCTAGGACACGGCCTTATGAATTTATTTAATATGATTTACCAATATTTTAAAATTTGTGATAAAAAGTTAATATCAATAGCACAGTGCTTATTTTGCAAGAATAATTTTAGTCGTGGAGGTTAAAATTTATTACAGATATTATTATTGCTTATTATTATTTAAAAAATATATAAATCGCTGAATTTAAATAAATTATTCTAGTAATTTCAACATGTCAGTATCGATTGTATCCTGATACCCAGCAGTAATTGGGGTAATGGTTAAGAAGTGATAACATTACATTTCTGATAATAATAATTTATATAGTATTATATTATATTGTATCAGCAGCACCTCTTCTACTAACTCTTGAGTCGTAAACTAAGAAATGCATTTATTGAATAATTTTTAAGATATAAAACTTTTTTTGGAAGCAAGAATGCATTAACCCTTATAATTTTATATATAAAAAAATGCATTATTATTTGAAAACGAGTTTATACTAATATTGAAATATTAATTAGAAAATTTTGATAATGGTACGTTTTAAAATAAATTTTTATAGTAATAATATGAAATATAATATTATAAGGCAATTTGATTTTTTTTGGAAATTCTTTACAAAATTTATCATAAAATTTTATTTTAATATTTAAATAATCAAAATTTTATATTTAATAATAAATTTAATCAGGTTAACTTAGTAAAAAAAATATCAAGCTAAATATCTGAGACCTGCAGGCCCAACCCTAAACTCGAACAGGGTCTAAAATTATTTTTAAAAACATACCTGGGCTGGTCCGAATATTTTAAATAACCATTATTATCTATAAAAATAAAAAACATATATTTAATAATTGTGTATCATAGACATTCATTCATTTATCATATTTCCTGTGCAAATGGTACCTCTGTAGATCTCTGATAATATAGAAATTTAAATGAAATATAACAGTTTTAGACACTCGCAGTTTTCCCACCTTGTCATTCAGGGGGTAAAAGAGTTTTTAATTTGAGAGAATCTAAAAAGACTCTTTAAGGCGTGTTTGAAAAAAAAAATGCATATTCAAAAAGACTTTTGCCTTCAAAGTCATACCCCTAAATTAAATAGTAAGTATATAAAAATTTATTATAAAAACTAAACAAACTTCGGGTATATCTAAATTGATTTCTTTCATCGCGCTAGGTTTAACGTATTTTAAAGTGCGTATAATATCGCGGTGTGTTATGTAGATGCTTTCTAAGAAAAAATAGTTCGGATATAATATTTTTAAAGAATTATGTTGATTTAGATCATTTTCAGCAATAAAAAGAGCAAATACAAGCATTAATATTATACAATAAAACTTTAAATTTAAATGGATAATTTTATTATCCAGGTAATAAAATATGTCTTTCGACACTTATAATTAGTACTAGTGATCTGCAAATCATAGCCCGGTCAAATAAAGTGGTATATTTCAAAATTATTGCAAGAAACCGCTTATTTTATATTTGTAAAATATTTTTTACAATAAAAAAATGGAATTTTTCTATATTTGGGCCATTCCACGTCAAATCGATCACGATTCGACCGACTCCTTTTAAAATTGTTAAAAATTTCTGGATAAGAAGGGTAAATAAATGAGAAAGCCGTTTATTTTAGCTCTCTAGCACACATGGTTCTCGAGATATAGGGGCTCATAGGTACAAAAAGAGCCACTTTGGAATCTGTAAAATTTTTAAAAAGCTTGAGCCGGGAAAATAAATAATTTTTATTTTGGGTCGGGATTTTCGGGACAAATAAAAAAAAGTTGGTTCGGGATAGGGCCGGACAAATTTTTTAAAAAAAATTGGAGCCGAATCAGGTTTAAAAAATTAGGCCATATGCAGATCACTAATTAATACCATCGGACAAATATAATGGATAATTTTTTTAGAAATATATTAAGGCTTAGATGTGATAATTGATTTGTGTTATAAAGATCAATGAATTTATATTAAAAAGATTAATGATAAAATTTGTATATTAGTAAGATTTTTTTTTCAGAAACACGTTTCTTTCTTCCAAAAATGTGTGGAAACCTAAAACGAAATATAAATCACAATTAAAATTAACTATAAATGCCTTCAATAACAATAAGATCAACAAAATGATATTTTATTTAACCATAACCGTTATTTTGTCTTATATTATTATAGGATGAACTTTTTCATATAAATAATATAGATCTGACATAATACATTTTCTTTTAAAGAGTGCTGTATTTTTTTTAAAAATCTACTGATATTTATTTCGCATATTATTATTAAGCCAGGAAATTGGAAACATGGATGGGATAGAAATATAGAAATTAAACAGATTTATGAGAATATTCTTATGAATTAAATGAAATTGAATGCAATCATAATAAAATTAAACTGTATATCAAATTTAAAACAAATCAGCCTTATTTTATAAAATGTAATAACATAATAAATATTCTAGCAAATTATTGAAAACTATGATGTAATTCACTATTTTTAAAAGAAAGTAACGAATTATCTTATTTTTACTTTATATATTACTTTCATATTTACAAAAACTAATAAGTATAACCTTTTTTATCCCCGTCATATTCATTACATTGATTCATTTTTTCCAAACAGGCACGGTTTACCAAGCATTTTAGATCAGCGCCAGTGAAACCGTGGGTTATATTAGCTATGTTCGTTATTTCGGAATCGCATATTATATCCTTCCATGATGAATCCCCTTTTAAGAGAGATTTTAGAATCTATAAATTATGATTAATATAATAATAACGAAACATTTCAGTAAAATATTTTTGTGGTAATTCATATTTTGAATTTCATACTATATTGACAATTCTTGTTCGTCGAAATACAATATTTGATTTGATTGAACAATGTTGATTTGTGTTTTATGGAAATCAAAATCGTTTATCTAATATTTCATTCATTTTAACTGAAATAAACCGATAATTGAAATATGTTAATTGTGTGTATTAAAATTATCGAGCTCTGCATAAAACCTATTCTTTCAGGTCCGACCCAACCCAAAAGTTTTGATTCAGAAATACAAGTCCAAGTCTGATTATTTTTTTACTGAACTGTTGAAAAGACGCGATATTTCAAAGAAATCAAAAAAAATTATAAGCGCTTAAATGATAATATCAAATTTATGGTTATTTCTATAATTTTAATAAAAATAATTAGGAGGGTTAGAAATAAAATTTTAATTAAGGCTGGAACCCGACAAGTCTGAAATGTCTGCCCAAGTCCGACTGACATGAGTTCGAACTATCAGTCCATGCAACAATTTAATTGAAATCAAAATAACTCAAAAAAAGTAAATAAAAAATAATTTATTTCTGTTTAATATAAAGTTGTTATTTTTATGTTCAACAATATCCTAAACCAAAATATACAATGATGAACATGAAAAAAAGAAATATTTTTTAACATTTTTTATTCAAATATCATACTGGTTCTAAACTGGTTATGTGTAAATAAATAAAATACGATAATGGAACAATATCTTCCAATCAATAATTTATTTGGGTCGGGAAAAAAAGTTAAAAAATTATGGATTTCAACAAAATGGATGATTTTGGTGAAACCAATCTAGCTTATATACTCTTCACTTGGCCTTTATAACTGGTTATTCTAATCTCATCAGCCTTGGTTATAGTCTCATTTATTATCCCCGTGCCTTAATTACATTAACTAAAAATTGTTAATTATTAACGGTATGATAAATTATCTCTTATATTTTAACCAAAATATTTTTTTAAATAGTCTACCTCAAAACGTTCTTTATTGTTGGGAGCGCTAATTTCTATTTCATATTCGAATCGACCGGGCCTTCTAAGAGTGAGATCTAAAGATTCCATTTGATTAGTAGCCGCTATTACCATGCAATTGTACTAATATTATTTATTTTTTTAAAAAAAATTAGCCATTTCTACATGATTATTTTCTCCGTAAAATGGATTGTACTAATTTATAGACCAACTAAATCAATCACAAAACTTAATAATATCATGAATATAGAATATATTTACTAATTTAATTTAGGTAAAAAAAACATTACAATGATTAGAAAACAGAGTTGGGCAGTAACGCGAATACTTGTATTTAAAATACTAAATACAAATACCTTTTTTTTGTATTTGTTTTTATTCGAATATTTCCGAAAGTATTTAGCATTTTTACTAAAAAATAAAAAGTATTTTGTATTTATTACGATTTCTAGCGAATACAAATACACATACTATTTTATATTTTTTTAATTATAAATTGATTTTAAAATCGAAAATTTATTTATTTAAATTTGTGGAAAAAGTTAGCGAAGAAATTAACATCATATCAGTGTACCCATTTTATTTTTAAGACGAGTATTTAAGAAATTGAAACCGAGGATATCGATTTTCTTTGAGGAATATAATGATATAAAACTAGAGAAGATAGATTACATTAGCAGATAATCTTTAACACTAATAACATTAAATGTCATGTAACAATTTTGATGGAAAGTATAAAAGAGCTTTTTTAGCTCACTCACATCTATATTGAAAAATAGATGAGTAGCATGTATGGAGAAAAATAATAATATTCGCTTGAATGAAACCCTCTTTATTCAAAGAGGAAAATGAGATAATGTAGCAAGCAAATATTTAATCGTCTTATGTAGAGGAAGTTGATTAATTTTCAAAATTCTATAAATGTTAATAATATTTCTAAAAATGTAGTTAGAAGTATTAAATTATTTAAAAGATAAACGCTAAGATATATTATATATACTAGATATTTTAAAATTATAAAAAAAAATCTTTTTAAAGTATAATTCTATTTTACCAACTTCTGCTCCGGTGGACAGATCTTTCAGTTTCGCAAAATTAATTAATAGACCAAAATAGGCATAGTATTAAATTACATTTTATTTGAAAAACTTATTGTATAAGAAAATAATGAGATATCATTTAAATATATTATATATTAGAATTTTAGAAAATGGTAATAATTAAAGTATTATAAAAGTTAAAAAAATTGTTAGTGGCACCATAAAAATCGATTTGTAAAAAGTATTTATGTGCAAAATATTTCCGCCAAATATTTGTATTTTAAATATTTATTTTAAATTTTTACAGGTATAGTGTTACAAGTAACGCGTTTACTGATTGAATTGTACAAATATTATTCGCACTTTTTTAAAAAAATATTCCAAGAAAATGTCCAGTCGTATATGATTGTTTTTCCCATAAATTAATAATCCTTATTATTTACTGAATCGATGACAACAGCCTATCATAAATATGAATGGAAGAATAATCATAAAATAAAATATTCACTAGTTTTGGCAAATAGCGTAATGATTTTTATTTAGTGCATTACAGCAAATAGAATCAATTAACCTCAAAGACAACTAATAATATGATTAATTGTATTCAAATATATAGTTAATTGTATTCAAATATATAGTTAATTGTATATGATGATTAATTGATGTAATTAGATTTATTTGTAAAAGATATATAAACTTAAGTACAAAATATATGCAGTTAAAAATATTATAAATTGTTCTATAATAGTGAAATATGTCATTGGCGCAGTTTCAAATTGAGAAATTTAATATAAAGGAGTGCGAGATGGAAGTTAATTTATCAAAGATGGAATTCATTTTTAAAATCGCCAAAGTAGAAGATATTTACCGTTTAAAAATACCAGTAACAAAAACGGATATTATTTTAAAATCTTATAATAATGTAATGATCGATATTCTAGAATGCATATTACCCATTAATTGTAATAATAAAATTATATATCATGAATTTATAATAGTAAACAATGGTATTAATTTGATAGGCAGAAATTTAATAAACAAATTAAAGTTAATAATAATAAATCAATGTAATACAATGAATTAGGTTTTTTTTTTTGGGGGGGGGGGATAATATTGAAAATTTCTTCATTATTTACTAAGAAATCAGGTTCACTGAAAGAGTTTAAAGCGAGATTATCGGTAACACACTTTCAATGTCTTAAAAGCAGACAGATACCATTTGCGTGGAAGACCAAACTAGAAACGGAATTACAACGAATGGAATCTCATGGGAGTTATAGAAAAACTAAAATACTCGAATATCGTTTCGCCGATCGTGGTACTAAAAAGAGATGGATTTTTACAAATTTGCGGTGATTTTCAACAGAAGGTTAATGTAAATATTTTGATTGGTAATTATCCTATACCCAGAATTAATGAATTATTAGCCACACTAGGTAATGGATCGAAATATACGGTATTAGATTTATCAGAAGCGTATTTTCAAATAGTATTAGATGAGGAGGCAAAAAAGCTGTTAGTGATCAACACATCCTCATCCATACATACCCCTAGGTTTTTTAATATAAATGAGAAAATATATGCAAAAGATTTTTAAAAAGATATTTGGATACCAGGTATCATCGTTAAAAGAACAGGACTAATGACGTTTAGCTGAGATTAAATTAGGGTTATGGAGAAGACATATTAATATGTTAAAACATAGGTTCGACGATTCCGATTTAAGAAATAGAGAGGAAGGAAGAGAAGGAGAAACGATGCAAACTACACCACGAATGAATGAAAGGGATCCTATGCAAAACTCGATAGCCAAAGACATTGATCCTATACAAGACTCAATGACCAAAGACATTGATCCGATACAAGAAATAGCCAAAGATACCATCATATGATAAGATTGAAATCGACAATACAGTTCAACCCGTGGTAGAGAACGAAAGTACAAGTAGCCGTTATCCAAAACGGATAAGAAAACAATTTATACCGTTTCAAATCGAGAGCCCAAAAAGGAGAGAAAAGATGTAATAGAATCAATTAACCTCAAAGGCAACTAATAATATGATTAATTTAGATTGATTTGTAAAGATATATAAACTGAAGTACAAAATATATTAAGGCAGTAAAAATATAATAAATTGTTCAATAATAGTGAAATATGTCAGATTACAACATTTAAAAAGTTTTGAAGGAATACAATGAAAACAAAATCATCTAACAAAACAGGCGCCTTTTCTGATTATCCTCTTTAATGTCATATGAATTTATTTTCAAAAGCTTACACATAAATACCACAAGATAATGTTTTAGACATTTCTACCATTTACAATTGAAAATAAAATTTCTTATAAATCATAATGTTTGTTCATCTTGCCTAAAAAACTTTATTCATACTTTGAAATTCATTAGCTTATAGTTTTACTCCTCATATCCTTTCTTATTAATCTTAGATGCCAATACCTTACTTTTTGTCAAATGTTTCCATTTTAATTTAGGAACCCAACAGAGTATAGAAGAAGAAATTATGGGTAAGGGCCCACAAAATTTTTGTTTCCTGGAGGTGAGGGGAGAAGGCAATATTTTGCTATTAAGCCTCTGATAATCCATCTAATATTTGACTTTTTCCGTAATGACGCCAAACCAATTTACTACACTCGTTCTTGCCCTCGTTGAAAACATGTTCACTTCTCATATCCGTTTACTTCTCATTTTATTTCATTATTTTACCTTATGTACATCGTCCAAGAACGAGATCAATAATGGCATCATAGCTTTTTTGTCATCTAGCGAATGAGAATTAGCTTGTGCCGTGAGCATTGAGTCTATATGATCTATGAAAACTAAGCTAGGCCTTCGAGTATGCGAACAGTCGATTACTTTGTTTAAAAAGGTTTTAAGCTTGGATCGGTAATTGACTGATCCGTCATCATCACTTTTTTTATAATATATTTCAATTTTTATTGCTGAATGAGAATGAATTATCAGTAATTTTAAAAGGTAAAACAAAAGATGGGCACTTAGAAATTGTAAGGAAAAATGGTCTAAAATTTAAAATAAATCTATTAATTAAAGGAAATTTGTTAAGGACAAGTCTAATTTAAAAAAATTCAATTTAAGAAGCAGAAGTCGTAATGGGAAAAATGTGAGGGGAGGGGGTATTTCACTTATACCCTCCTTACAGCATTGATCTAGGGTCCAGGGCCCTCTTAAAATATTGTGATGTAGATAACTCGGAGTAGAGCTCTTTGCCGATATACATAGTCATTATTCATGTGTCATAGGTAGAGATGTGAACCCGATAAAATATTTGCCTGGTTTGGGTTAGGTGTAAGGTAAAAAAATAGGTGGGTTTGGTTCAAGTTCAGCTCGGGTTTAAGAACTTTTGAATTGATAAAAAACTAGATTCTATATTTAAATCATAATTAAAAAACTAGACATAAATTTGGTATAAAAAATTTTTTTTATTTTATTTATATGCAAAATATAGTTAAAAATACAAAGCATACTCATGTATAAATTTTAAAAATTTTATTTAGACGTATTAGCATGATATCTTCCAAGAGTTGCTAACTCATCCTCGATCTATATTAGATTGAAAATCTTATATTGCTAATAATATTCAGCAGAATATCCCTCAAGAAGAGGAAAAGATGGTTGAAAGAATGAATTTCAAATGTGAAAAAAATCTTTCAATGCTAACATATATTAAATATATTTATGTGAAAATATGATAAATTAACTTGGGTTGCAGGAACAGCAAATAAGATTTTGGATATAATATAAATCAGGGTGCTCCAGTTTAGCAGACCCCCAAATAGGGCAAAATATTTTCCTTCTTATCTAATCTTTTATCGCTAAATCCGGTAATTATAGTTCCAATACTTTTCTCTGCAACCGTTAGCCCTCTTTTAAGTATTTTCTCCTGCCTTTCTTTAAGTTTTATCAATTTCTCTAGATCATCTTCTTGTTCAATAACTTCATCGGATCTTATATCATAAGATAAAATCGGCGTTGTTACTCCATAAATTAACAAGATGCCTTTTCGCACAAATCTTATCATCATCACTAAGTAATACCTGTAATATTTAAGGATTTATACTGTTTATATTTATATAAATGGCAATTCCATAAAATAACAATTTTAATATAAATCTAAAATATTAATTTACTAAGCTTTTAATTAACCTTGTACATGAGTTCAGGTATATGGTAGCTAAGAGTTTCATTTTTTATAAACCTTTCTTCTCTGTTCTTAGGACAAGAATATAGTGATTGAGAAAAATTATTTGAATTTTTTTCTAATTCAATGTAGCATCATTCTCCATAAAAATCTGTCAGTGCTAACTGTTCAGATTAAAATCGTTGCGATTTTTAGTGGGTTTTAAAATTTCAAATCGTTATTATCTCTTTTCAATCTTCAGTTCATAAATAATTAGATTGCTCTGAAAAGAAATCTTCGATATTGGGTTTGAGTAAAATCAGCCTTTCTAACATATCATGGGTTGAATGTCATCGGTGGCAATCTAACACAGGCTTAGGAAGTTTGATATTTTTCAATAACTTTTGATAAGTGGGATGTCTTAATTTTAAATTTAAGCTCCTAGCTTTTGTAAGAGTATCCACAATGTGTGATAATTTTATTGCATATTGAAGTGCAAGCTGAAGTGTATTGGACAACGTACACTATAAATAAGATAGGATAAAATAGTTGATAAAGAAGTATTCTGTATATAATCTATATCATATTTATATACATTCATATCCATATTTTCATCATCTGCTGATTCACTCCTTATATCATAATCAATTTCAGGCTGCAAGAGCTTTATAGCTTTGATAAAATTTGCACCATTGTCAGAAGTAATTGTGTATATTTGTTCAATATTAATTTTAAATTTTTGTAAAGTTTTTAGTATATTCTCCTGTACTTCTTTTTTTCAGCTCTTCAATTCCAAGAGTTCTCAAATATAATGGACTTTGATATAAATTGAATATTTACACCAAGAATTGACCTGTCTAGTCGTTGAACTGCATCAACTTTTAAACTTATTAGTTTCCCTTCTACCTCTCTTCATATTTTGTCTAATGGATTGGACTGTTCTATTAATAGTTTGGGATAAATTTTCTTTGTTAATAACTAAATTGAGCCCAGACAAAGGTTGATTTATGATGCTTTGAAATCCCGAATCTTCGATAATCATTCTATGATAGAACTCATCAAATCATTAGATGTTAAATTTATATTTATAGAATTTTTGGGAAAAAAGGTTTCTATATTAATTTTGGGTTTTTTTGCAAATAACACTTCCAGATATTTTGTTTTTTCATTCAAATAATTTAGATATTCATTGTTGTGATTTCTTTCCAGATGTCTTTCTAAATTTGATAAATGATTACCAGACATTTTTAATTTACAATATGAGCATACTGATTTATTTTATATTGTATCAAGAGTAAAATACTTCTCAAATATGATTTTATCTTTGATCAAAATCTATATAATAAAATATTGTATTGAAGAACATTTATTAAACTTTCAAATAAAAGAAAGTTAAATAGAATAATTTTTTTAAATAGCAATGATTTCATAATTAAAAAACAGATATATCAATTAATTTCAGTTATAATATGCACTTCAATAAAAATTAATTTTGAATAAAAAATAAATTCTTAGCATACATAAATTATTTTAATAAGTTTACAAAAACTGCCCCAAATCTTTGTTTAATAATTTTTAAGTTAGATTTTGCGAATTCTTTAAATTAACAATATCCAATATAATAATTTTTACTTTGACTTGTTCACTTTCATTTTCCTCTAATTAATAAACTTTGAAAATAAGTTAAAAATTAAAAATAAATGGCGTAAATGAATTTAATTGTTTAAAATTTATTAACACTCCAAAAGCAATCTTTGAGAATTAATTTAAAAAATTTAAAAATGGCGTAAGGGTCATTCCATGTCAAATGAGCAAAAAAAATGAGATTTTCGGCCGACCCCCTTCGATTTTTTTAAAATTTAGTAAGCAAAGAAAGGTTAGTGTAGTTAAGAAATAGCCAAAATTTTAGCCTCGTAACATTTATATTTTTGGAGATATTAGGGTTCAAAGTGGCCAAAATGATGTATTTTTACCATTATCTGCCTTCATTCAATTAAGCATATCTTAAAAACTATCTAATTGTAAATAACAAATTTAATATCAAAATTACGTACAAAGATTCTACTTTTAGATAAAAAAAAAAATTTTTCAATTTCCCGCCATTTTATTAAATATATAAGGACTAAAAACGATTTTTTAGAAATTATACGACCTTTAATTTTTTTAAAAAATTTAGTAGACAACACTGAACTCTTCCTTTATATTTATAAAAAAAATTGATCTGGGACGAGGCCATCTTCATTCTCAAAATCGATAAAAATGTTTAAAAAAGTGTATAAATATTTTCCCGAAAGGGGGCGTCTTTGCATAAATTTATATTTATCAGTTTTTAATGGTTTTTCTTGGACTATTTGATATAATTTAAAGGAGTATTTATCTTGTAAGTGAAAATAACAATAAATGGGGCTTTCATTCAATTATAGAAATTGCCTATCGATAAAAGAAATTCAATTTATTACTTTATTTATAATTTTTTATAAAATTTTTTGCTAATATAACATATATTAATATTAATAAAATATATTCAACCAAATTTATACTTCTTGAATATATGAATCAGAATCTTTAGCATTTCATATATGGCGCCCTAAATATTAAAAATAAATTGATATAATATAACATTTAAAATCTAATATATAACTCACTTTTAAAAGATTCTAATTTTTCGGTAGCGCATTTACTTTCTTGTGACGACAATGTGTAACTACGGCCAGTAGCAGTTAACGGTGAAACTAATGTTAAGATATGACATTTTGGCAAGTAGAGAGTGTCGTCTATACTTGGAAATGTAAAGGAATTAGAAGGTCCGGATGGGTGTAAAAACTTTATATATATTTCTTCCTCCTTTTGATTTTTCCCTAAAACTAAGGCTAACCACCAATTAGAATCATAAACACATGTTATATACCCTGATATCTCTCCAAAAATGATACTTTCATCATTATATGATAAATATTCTATATTACTTTCTATTGAATTGGAATACATTTTACTCTTAAATTGATGTAGACCTGTGGGAATCACCGTGTGAATTTTCTGTGTTCCAGGTATAGGTCTCGTTTTTGAAAACCTTTCCCTGAGTAATATTTCTTCGTGATCATAATTTTCTTGGGTCATATATTCAAAATATATGCCATTAATATTTTCTTTAGCGAACTCGTACAATTCATATGATGTGGTTATTTGCTTTGAGTAAGGTCTTTGTAAACTAGCTCTAGCGGCTAATCTTTTAACAGTGCCACCAATCCCATCACAAACACTTTTCCCATGTGCTGTAGCAGAAAAATGCCATTCCGCCTGTATCCCGAAATCCATCTCATGATGGCAAATATTAATAAAATTTTTACGATTTTTATACTGTGCAGCAGATCCATCGGAAAAATAAAAAATTTTATTTGGCATACAAATTTTATTAATTAAAAAATTTACCAATGTTTTTTGGAAATAATGTACTGCTATTGTATTGTGTTGCAAAGATTCGGATATCATTACATAATTTAGGCAACAAATATTGGCTAAATTATCTTTATAATATATAACAAAAGGGTGAACAGTGGATTGAGCTCTATTCCAATGATAACTTTGTACTTCATCCTGAAGTATAAAGCTATAGTTTTCTGAAAAATCACATAAAATTAAATATTGGCCTTTGTCTAAGTTCAATTTTAGATTTTTTTGATACAATGATTGTTGCGTTTAAATAAAAGAATGGGGTATAAAGATCCCATTTTTTCAAAAAAGGCATTGATAAATTCATCTACTGGCTTGGTTATTGTTTCTAGAGTGGTTCTATCTACGGATAGCCATTGTTTGTATGTTATAAATTCGATGTCCTTAGAACGAAACAATATTTCTATTTGGTGGCGTAAATTTGTTGACCCTGGACAATTATCACATTTGCCCAAATAACAGGATGGTTGAGGCGGATTACAAATTATTAAGGGTAAAATATGTTTATATGTTTTAATGGGCAACATATCATCTTTGGTTAAATTGGGTAAATTTGATCCAATGATCATTAATTTAAAATTTTGGTGGTAGCTGCAAACACAAACATTATGTGTACCACTACCTCCTACGAGTATACAATTTTTTGGGCGAATGCTTGCAAATTTCGAAAAACCGATTTTAACATTAGGCCTCATTTCTTTAAAAAATATATAAATTTCTTTCAAATTATCTAAAATTAATCTCTTTTGTATTGTATTCTTTTTTCCGTCTTCGGTCAAAATTGAAAGGCAATCTTTCTTGCCTGGCATGATTCTGCTTATTTCGTCCGTACAATAAAATTCTTGTACAATTTTAACTGTACATTCGTCTATAGTATTTCCAGGCTTGGGGTTAGGGGTTGATAAAAATCCCTTTTCCGCTATCAATAATTTAGCTTGTGTTGCCATGTATTTTGTTGTATTAAATTCATTCATTATTTTGGACACTGTCCAATTCTTTGGTAATATCGTCAAAATTTTATATTTATCAGTTTTAGATAAGAGTGAAAATTTTTTTTTAATATTGCTTAGAATACCATCATCTTTATCGATAGTAGCTGGCTCAATCGCATTTATATCTAAATGAGTTTCTATAGCCTTTTTTATTTTGGTAATTTTTTTAATTGGATATCTTTTTTCTCTCAACCTTTTCTTTTTTATTGGAGATTCTCCAATTTCTATCAATGATGTATTAATTGATTCATAAGCCAGGTTCTCTTCGATATGATGAATATCAGGGTCTTTAAATGCGTCATTTGACTTACTAGCTGTTCCGAGTTTTCTTCGACATTTATCACATATCTTATCATCTGAGTGAAGTGCATCCAAGATTGTACATTTCTAAGATTTGTAGTTACATTATTATGTTTTAGTATTTTAAAAGGGTTACAGCATCTAGTTTTTCGAATAAGATTTTTGTTCATTTTATTGAAATTCTATATGATAATACAAATTAATTTATAAAAATATCACCGAATATCTAATAATTACAGGTGTAACGATTAGGGGGTTAATCCGATACGATATTGCAGATATTATATTGATATCGGCCAAATAACCGATATCACAAATCTGATTTTGCTCGCTCTACATATTATATATTTTATCATAACTTAAAACAAATAATTATAATTTAAATTAACCTAGTATTTCAGGTTTATTCATGTAAAATTCTATATAAAATTTAGTAAAAATATGGTATAATCATTTTTTGTTCCAAAAACCCTATTTTGATGTAGAAAGTAACTGGTTAATTTTTGAAAAAATTTGATTTAGTTTTAAAACCAAAAATATCCTTATAAGACATTATTAATTATTTTCATTTAGTTTTTTATAAAATTTATCGCTTCAATTAAATAATTTTTTTACCTTTGATATTATAAGAATAATTAGAATTTATTATAAGAATAATTAGAATTTATTATAGTTTTTTTAAAATACCAAGAAATTAATTAAAAAATGAATTAATATAGTGAGCATGTGTTATTGAATGATTAATCAATTTTAAATTTTTCTTTATTTTATTGATTGAAACACTCATTTATTCTTATTTACAAGTAAAGCTATGCCGATTTTAGAAAATCCGATCCAATATTTATATTGTTTGGGTTATTGATGATACTTTTATTTTGTATATAATTTTATAATAATAATAAATTAATATTTGTAATATTTTATTAGCTTTTCCACGTCAATGGAAGAATTATAATTCTTCATATATTATTTTTTTTGGTAAAAACAAAACAATAAATACAATGTACATAATATGGAGACACAAAAAAAATATAATATATCTTGACTTTGAAAAATTTATTTTTTTTGCGACGATCACATTATTTTAAAAAATTGATCGATATTTGGTGGATCATATTTTATTAATATTCGTTAAATATATGTTATATGGGCAAATATATAATAATTATAAATAATAATGTAATAAATTGAGTTTCTTTTATCGATAGATAATTTCTATACTTGAATGAAAGCCCCATAAGTGAAGAAAATATTATAATTTATATTTACAAGATGAATAATCCTTTAAATTATATCAAATAGTCCAAGAAAAACCATTAAAAACTGATTTAAATATAAATTTATGCAAAGACGCCCCCTTTCGGGAAAATATTTATACACTTTTCTAAACATTTTTATCGATTTTGAGAATGAAGATGGCCTCGTCCCAGACCAATTTTTTTTTATAAATATAAAGGAAGAGTTCAGTGTTGCCTACTAAATTTTTTAAAAAAATTGAAGGTCGTATAATTTCTAAAAAATCGTTTTTAGTCCTTATATATTTAATAAAATGGCCGGAAATTGAAAAAAAAAATTTTTTTTTATCTAAAAGTAGAATCTTTGTAAGTATTTTTGATATTAAATTTGTTATTTACAATTAGATAGTTTTTAAGATATGCTTAATTGAATGAAGGCAGATAATGGTAAAAATACGACATTTTTGCCACTTTGAACCCTAATATCTCCGAAAATATAAATGTTACGAGGCTAAAATTTTGGCTATTTCTTAGTTACATTGACCTTTCTTTGCTTACCAAATTTTAAAAAAATCGAAGGGGGTCGGCCGAATCGTGGTTGATTTGTCATGGAATGACCCCTAAATGAATTAAGTTGTTTAAAATTTATTAACACTTCACTTAATTGGAAATTTAAAAATATTATAAAATTAAATTATTATTATTTGTATTTACAATTATACAAATATCTTTGATTTTAAACAATACAACATTCGGTTCGAATTCTTGGTCATAGGTTGAGTAAATGGATGAGACTAAGTGGTAGGATTGTCTTTAAATCTAGTTTAATGCACTTATTCAATTTGAACTTTTTACAAAAAGTAAAGATGGTAATAAGACGTGATGTGTACGAAAGTTAGTTTTATTTTTAAAGCCCAAATTGAACAAGTATTTTTAAATTAAAATGGTTCAGTTAGAATCTGAACATTTAAATTTATCATTATAAAATAGCTACTTATATTATTATTAAAAACTATTACTCGGGAATCAAATAGGAATCCATTTTTTCGAAGTCTATATAATGATAATTAAGTTTAGATTTCAAATCGTGCGCCAGGCAATTAACTAAGGATGTTTTTCCGACCCCGCTTGGTCCATACAATAAAACGCATCGTGGAAAATCGTAATCTTATAATTTTTCAAAAAAAATAAACAAAACCATTATAAAGAAATACGCCATACTTAAGAAGGTTTATATTACATATAAGTGTTGAGTTTAGCAATTATTTCATCCTTAATAACTTAAACATTTTAAATTATATATGTTTAAAGAAATGTTTTCTGTAATTAGAGCCTGAGGATTGCTTAAATCTCGTTTAATACATTTTTCTATAACATCCATGAACAAAAATGCGATATACGTTGTATGGGATATTTCAAAATTAATAATTCATTCGAATTGCTTAACAATGTTTTCGATATTAAGTAAGGTTTATTACCGATATCTAGAAAACAACTATTCATATTTATTTCTTGGGGATTTAATATGGACCAATGTATTTATTTATTTTAATAGAAATTTCTAAACAAATTGGATTACCTTGGATTTTATTGAGAGGATGTGGAGTATATATAAAACATCATTCAAAAGGAGTGGTTTTATTAGTTTAATTTTATTTCACTACAAAATAAAATTCCGCTTATCTCTAAAATATATCAGAGAGCAACAGACCCGGGCACACTGACCTTCCTGTATTTTAGTTTTTTTTAATATACCTGGGCCAGGCCTGAAAATTAAAACTTGGCCTCTCTGATATATATAAATGGTAAATTGAATTAAGAAAGCGCATATTTGTATATTTAAAATTTTCATTAATTATAGGAAGTAAAACTAAGCCAATCTTAAAATAAATACCGTATATTTTTTTTAAACAATATAAATTTCGCGTCATTGATTCTTTATGTTTTTATAAAAATACTAATGACGTAATTAACCTTATATACAAAAAAAAATCATAAATTTCGGAATGGCATCGGGGTGAGTGTTAGAGAACTAAACTGAGAAATCACAGCAAACTTAACGTCCGTGGTTTGATTCCAGCTCGAGTCTTTTATTCTGAAATCAAACTCCTCCAAAAGGTCAGGGTTAGGATTCAAACAGTGATGTGAGTTAAGGTTAATATATATAATAAAACATGTTTAAATATAAATAAGTACACGTTTATTTATTGTTCAAAAATTAATATTTTCCACGATTTTTTTTTGAATCAAAATTGAAGAAAAATAAATAAAAGTAATATTTATATATTTTTAATAATATTAATATTCGAATCAAATATTATAGGTTATGCCCGAGTATTGAAGAGGATATGTTCTAATATTTTTGTTAATAAGTTATACAGTATAATATAAAGTATATAGAGTCCGATTTATACTGTGTCATACTTCTTTATAATGATATTAATAAATTGAAATTCGGACCTGACCTGAAAAACAGGTCCAATGCTGGTTCTAATAAATAGCACTCTATTTAATAATACAATCGCACATATAAATTATATTTGTTCTTTTTCATTGTAAAAAATTTTAAACTGTAAAAAAAAGAGCGTAACTTTGAGGAAAGGACGATCTAGTGGAGGCGTTTAACAATGGGGTAATGGCTTCCCTTATCGGTTTTAAGTAACCGTTTGCTTCCATGCATGCATAATCGTTTTGGCATATTGGTATATTTTCCTCTTGATGAAAGGAAGGAATTTGGGGGATAAGCACATTCATCAGTTGTCGAAATTTTTCGAATATTCTGGAATCTTCTTGTGGGTAATGCAGAATAAATTGGGTCGAATCGCCTATTTTCCCCATTGGCAGATCACTTTTCGTGGTTAAAATGTTGATGAGAAAAATTATAAAGTTGTTTGAAAAAAAAATTAGTTTAATTTATCGAATAAACTAGTTTTCGTTTAATTTCTTAAAAATTAGTCATAAATTTATTATTATATGTTTGGGTGAATATTTACTGAGTATGTAATTTTTTCAACTTTAAATCCTATTTTGGATTTTTAAATTTAAAAAATATGATCTTGCTGGAATGTGGTAAACCCATTCTGTGATTTTTAGAAAATTTGAGATGAACTATTGACCTTAATATATTTATATTAGTTTTCCAATTTCAAGTTAGGATAAAATTGTCTTAAATTCATAGAGTATAAACATGCTGGAATACTTTCCGGTAAAATCATATGTTTAAAAATTAAAAACGCTCAAAAATTGCTATAAAGTTTAAAAAATAACATTCGACGGAAAAAAAACATATTGATGTTATATACAAGTAGATTGCTTAACAAGCCAGAAAGAATGAGGCAAAAGAGTCTTCCATATTTGAATGATCATGAATACGCTGTTTTATTATTTATTGCCCATTTCAATTTTTTTTAATTGAAACTGTATCATTTTTATTTATTCTAATTTTGACAAGGTTTTTTAGTATTTTTACGTTTAAAAAGTATGTTCCCTGCATGATGACATAACCTTTTCTTTTTCCCATTTTTTTTACTAACTTTTATTAAATTTTCTACCACATTTTTTTTATCTTCCTCACTAAATATCTCCCAAATTGAAAAATCTATAATGACTTATACCCCTCAGCCAAATAATATTCTCCTTTTCCTATCAAAGCTCTTTCGAGATGTTTTTCGTATTTGTACCTTATTATATATTATATCAATTAAGTTAACTAAATGACGCGATTGCCAATTAGTATAACTTTTTAAAACATAATTCATGCACAATTGTTGTTAATCCATAAATTACTTATAATTTAATTTTTTAATGGGAAATACACATAATTGTACAAATTCTTTTCTAAATAAGTGTCAATATATTAATAATAGTGATTAATTTTGTTGTAATTGTGGTTATATTCAAATTTATAGATTAAGAAAAACGAAAGATAGGCAAATTACTTTTAAACAAAATTACGAAGCCGAAAGATATTCAAATCTACTCAAGAAAAAAGAATTAAATCTCGATGCATATTGAGACTATGTAAATGTTGATTAAAGAAATGGGATATATAATGGAGAAATTATGATGCGAAAAATGATTATTTTTTGTTAACTTAAATTTAAATTTTTATTTTTAATTTTTTACTTTTATTTTTCTTATATTAATTTTTCTTTTATTTTGATTATGTTTTTCACCTTATATTTGGTTATAGTTATTTATTTAATAAAAATTAATAATCAGATTTTAGTATATATATTTTTTATTTCTATTTTATTAGGTTCTGATTCTCAATGCCAAAAACTATCAATTGTGACAAATTTCACATAATTATAAAAAGTTAAAAAAGATATCATCAAAATGGGAAAATACCATACCAAAAATTAAAGATATTATCTTTTTTCTTATTATTTCGGGAACACCCTCTTTATCTCTTAAATAATTTTGAATATTTTCTTTTAATATGTCTTGTGCATAATAATTGCACGGAATTTGGAAAATTTTGTTTTATGAGGTATTTGAACCTTTTCATTATCTGTCCCAAAAATTATATTATTTTTATTATTCGATATTTTTTTAAAAAATCACTCTAAATCTGAAAAGAGATTATTTAGATTTGGTAATCTGCATTCCAATGCAGATAAACTGGGCCGAGAAAAATTGGATAATCCTTAGTAGTCATAAGTTTGATAGACTTATGTTTAAAAACTGATGCCGTAACATATAAATCACTGAGATTAAATGTTCTATCGAAACCAAGAATGAACGGATTATTCTCTGCACACATATATTTTATATATTTTTTTTATCATTAGGGGCATATAAAGAATAATAGATGTAATTTTAGTTTTATTACACTTTGTACAAAAGGATGTTTTTCAATATTGGAAATAATATTTAATAATCATTTAAAATTAAATTACTATATAATTAGGGATTTTTTCGGTGTGATATTTTTTCCCAATTTCCTTTAAAGTAGTTGGATGGGTACGTATATATTCTTTTTCATAAATATCTTCATTTATAACTTATACTAAAAGTATTCGACTAAATACACATTTCAAAATAACTTTGGAGGTATTATCAAATTTATTTAAACACTAATTTACATTTTATAGTTTTCGTCTCTTTTAAAAGAGGTATAATATTTAGTATATAAAAACATGTAACTTTTATCAGGTGCTTTGTTGGTTCAAATAATTTTTCTGATAATATAATAAATATTATTTCCAATATTAAAAAACATCTTTTTGTACAAAGTGTAATACATAAAACAATAAAATTACTTCTATTATTCTTTATATGCCCTTAATGATAAAAAATATAAAATATATGTGTGCAGAGAATACGTCCATTCTTGGTTTCGATAGTACATTTAATCTCAGTGATTTATATGTTACGGCATCAGTTTTTAAACATAAGTCTATCAAACTTATGTCTACTAAGGATTATCCAATTTTTCTCGGCCCCGTTTATCTGCATTGGAATGCAGATTACCAAACCTATTTTCAGATTTAGAGTGGATTTTTTTTAAAAATAATGAATAGTAAAAATAATATAATTTTTGGGACAGATAATGAAAAGGTTCTACATACCTCCATAACACAAAATTTTCCAAATTTCGTGGAATTATTGCACAAGACATATTAAAAATTATTTATAAAGAGGGGGTTCCCAAAATTAAGAAACAAGATAAATGGTATTTTCTAATTTTGATATTTTTTTGATTATCTAAATTAAGCGAAATTAATCACTATTATTAATATATTGACACTTATTTAGAAAAGAATTTGTATAATTATATGTATTTCCCATTAAAAAATAAAATTATTTTTGATTTATGGAATAACAAAATTGTGAGTCCATGAATCATGTTTTATATAGTTATACTAATTGGCAATCACGTTATTTAATTAACTTAATTGATATAATACATAATAAGGTACAAATACAAGAAAAACATATCGAAAGAACTTCGATAGGAAAAGGAGAATATTATTTGGCTGAGGGGTATAAGTCATTTCAAATAGATTTATCAATCTGGGAGAAATTTAGTAAGGAAGATAATAAAAATGAGGCAAAAAATTTAATAAAAGGTAGTAAAAACGGGAAAGAGAAAAGGTTATCTCATTATGTGGGGAACTAATATTTTTGAAACCTAAAAATTCTAAAAAAAAAAACTTGTCAAAAAATTAGAATTAAAAAAAAGGACAGTAACAATAAAAAATTTAAATTTAAAAATAAGGCCATAAACGTCGTACACTATTATATATATATATATATAAATCTTTTAATTTTATAATAGATTGTATCAGACACACTGTTTCATCCTAATCATAAAATACTCCATCATATAATCAACTTGTTTATTAATTTTTTTTATTCATATCGGATACAAATTCCGATTTTTATTCACATCGCATATAAATATCAAAATTTTTTAGCTCGGCAATCAGTTAAATCAAAGTATTTACAGAATATTTTTTAGGATAATACTTAACGCGTAAATATACGTGTAAAAAACAAAAATGAAGATTTTCCATGGATAACTCCAGCAATGCAGTATTTAATCATTGTGTCGGTTACGAGTGGTCGGTTATCGGTCAAATCATGATATTTTTAAAATGTTTTTTGGAATAATGTTTTACACGTATTAATAGATAAATAAAACAAAAATGAACATTTTTCAATTGATATTACTAGCCAATTTGGTCAATCAAATATTTAGTATGTGGTCGGTTTTGCATTCGGCAATCAGTCAAATCAATTAAAAAATTTTTAGGATAATGTTATACGCGTAAATATAAGAATTGGAAATAAAAATGAAGAGATTTTGATAAATAACGCCAGCAATATGTGCCTTACATGTTATCTATTATTTTTCGATTCTAAGCCTACTCATAAATTAAATATCAAAGAAATCTATCATTTTTTTTTAATTTATAGGTTTTCCACATGTATTTACACCCAAATATAAAACAAGCGCTAACCAAAAATCATTCAGGTTTCCTAAAATAATATTTTCATATTTATTAAATTTCAAAATTGAAAAATAAAATTTGATTTCAATAAGCTAGTAAATATATTTTTTCCATTTAATATTAAATAAAATAGAATCATATATATTACTAGCTGATAGCCCGTCAAGAAAGACGGGGAATCAGAATTTTCTCCGTATGGATAAATAATAAATTTTACCTTCATTTGACGATGGATGAATCAGAATAGTCAAATGAGAGGAATAGATTATCCGTATTCATCCTTCAAAGATTTCTATAAATTTATAGAGAAAAGGGCAAATATATATGGAAAACATGGAATAAAAAAATATGATTTGTGAGTTATGATATTTATCAATTCTTATAAATTTTCCACATCCAGACGCAATGGTTTTTGCTCTCTCACTTCGTATAAAATGTACATTCTTCTCAAAGAATCATTTAAATGCTTTTAAAACCATCCTAAATACTCTTTTAAAAAAAGGCCTGCCATCATATATTCGAATCAATTATGGGGGCAAACCAGATTATCTCACACAACCCCATTGCAATGGGCTATTTAGAAGATTATTAGCAAAAATAATTGCCATGGGTCAAAACCCAGAGTCTTAACTTATTAACTATACTTATCAATTAGGATTTGGTGCTAAGGGAGAAGGCAAAATAGCTTCACATGCCATTTGTATTCAAAAATCCTCCTCCTAACATGGTTACTATCAAAGTAGACTTTATAAATGTTTTCAATAGCAAATTTCGTGAACATTTCATAATTTGTTTTTATCCCAAATTTCCTGTTTATCAAAATTCCTAGAAACATACTGTAACATTAAAACTCCTTTATTCACCCCACATGTCATAGATTCTGATGAAAGGATCCAGCAGGGGGCAAGTGTCCTCGTTTATTTTACCTTGGTATTCATTATCTCATCCATTATCTTATATCTAAATTTGATTTGGATATAAATATTTGGTATATCTGTGATGTTCATCCTAAAATAATTGGTTTTCAATTTCTTGAAGCTAATTTTAAAAAACTTATTCTTAATAAGTCCAAATCCGAAATCTGTTTCCATGATAACAATACACAAAACCCTCATCTAGCAAAATTAAATTTTTTATTGAGTATATAAATAATGAAAATTAAAAAAAATAAGGAAACTAATATAATTTTAAAAAAAGTATACAAAGTTGGATTAAGAAAAAAAACATGTTAGCTGGGATACGAACCCAATTTCTTCAGATTTGTAAGGGACGCTCTTGCCGATTAGACCACAGATGCTTTTCTAAATTTACGATTTTTAAAATATATATTATAAATTGGAGCGTGACACAGCTTTTATCATTATAGATAGAGAGATAAATGTTTATGATGTGTAAGATGGTAATGTTAGTTATTATTTTAATGGATGTGTGATGAATGAGTGTTTGTTATGGTATGATGCTATAAGAATACTATTGGCTATTACGTTGTGGAAAATTTAAAAATCTAAGAATACCTATTTAATAGTTTGAATTTTAAAATAGCAACAAACTTTGAATCGTATGTGAATATGTCACACTTAATTATTTTATCTTCTATTTAATTAATTTTGCCAGATTAAGAAAAAAAATCTTTGCTGTTCGAACCCATGCCCCCACATTTGTGAGCGACGCTCTTGCTGATTAGGCCATAGACGTTTTAAAAAAATCCTGAATTTTTAAATATATATTATAAATTGTAACAATGTGACTGTGACACGGTTTTTGTATATATTAGATTTGATATTTAAAATTGATTTATGTATATAAAAAAATATTTTTGAAAATTATTCTTTAAAAAAAAATTATATAATAAAATTTTGATTGATTATGATTAATTGCATTTCAATCCAGTTTAGCAATGCAGTATTTAGCCATATCCATCTCTATTGGCAATATTTTATATTTTAAATTACTTGATAAATTAGATTTTAAAATATAACTTTCTAAATTAAATTAAATATAAAGATTATAATATTAAAATTAAATTAATTATAAAATATTAAATATAAAGATTTTAATTTTATAATTAATTATGTAATTATATATAAATTTTAGTAATTTTCATAGTGTTTATTATACATCGAAAGTAGCGAAATAGCGCGCTGCTTAGATACTCTCTAAAAAGAACCGCACTGTTGTTACTGAAAAAAGAATCGCACTACAAAAAACTCTGGTTCTAATAAATCCCTTTTAAAATTACGATACATATAGAAAAAAATTTCTTAAATAAAATTAAATCATTATGTAAATTATGAAAAGAGAAAAGATTATAAAAAGCGATAAAAATTTATAATTAAAATGTTTTTTTTTATTTAATAATAAATTCTAAATTTTAATTTGGTTATTCAGTTAATCAATTAATTTATTTATTTGTAACTTAATTATAATCCTATAACACTATGAATTATAAAAAAAATTTAAATAAACTAAGAGAAATAATATTTTATAGTCATTTATATCATCGTATAAATTTGATTAACATCCTTTAACTTATATTATAACCAAAAAAAATATGAAAAATAGTTTTTATGTTTTATTTTGCAATAAAATTTTTAACGTATTTTGGGAAGTAGAACAACAATTTGGTTTTGGACTGGACTAAAAATTTTAGGTAGTAGATGAGTATTCCATTGGGAGTCGTTTGAAATAAGTTGTGCCAATTTTGTAGGAAAAAAGGCTGAAATTTTTATACAAACTAGATCTTAACATCCAGTCTAACCCCTCTGTTGGTTATTTAGATTTTCTTTTCTCAAGAAGTAATGAAAATTGGCATAATTAATTTTAAACTACTCCCAAAAATACAATACTCATCTAATAACCAAAACTTTTTATCCAGTCCAAACTCAAATGGTTAAAATTTTTCCACCTACCAATTTTAAACTGCTCTAAATAGTTTTGTAATATTCTTCTACTACCCAAAAAATTTTATCTGGTACAAGCCAAGTTGTTTTAAAATTTAACTCATTTCTTTGTGAAGTATAGAAGATTGGTACTATCGATTTTAAACTATTCCCAAAAGGTTTGTAATAATGTTCCCCTACCCATAACTTTTTATTCAATCAAAACCCGATTTTTTAAAAAATGTTTTACATTATAAAAGTGTTTTAACAGCGATTTGCATTAAAGTGCAAGATAAAATATAAGACGATTTTACACATTATTATTTAAGAGATGTTAACATATTTACACATGATTTATTAATAAGTTATATAAAATATTATTAATCTTTTAAAATATTTTTAAAATAAAACATTTTAACTAAATTTATAGCTACTAATAAAAAATCTTAGCTTGTTCATTCAAAGATGGGAACTCTATATAAGTGCTCTACATGGGGCCTAATTTTTCAAGCCTGGCCTGAATCAAAATTATTTTTAAAAAAATTTGTTCAGCCTGACCCAATCTCAAACAAAATTTTTATTTGTCCCAAAATGTAGACCTGAAATAAGAATTATTTGTCTGCCCTGCCCAGGCCAAATTTATTTAAATATAGAAAATTTAATATTATTTTTATTGTAAAAAAAAAATATATTATACATACAAATAAAATATTTTAGCGCTTTGTTTCTTGCAAGAATTTATAAATATATAAATTTATTTGATAAAATGTAATGTCATATTTAAAAATTTAAACCTAACCTGGTCCTAAATTTTTTTTAAAAAATATTAGGCCCATCTGAATTGGAATTTTTTAAATAGCCTGACCCAGTCTGAAACCTGTTTTAGACAGGCTCAGACCAGGTATGTGTCAGGTCATCATTTGCAGATACCTAATCTACATATCTTAATCATTTTTACAAAATTAATAAAGATTATAAGTCAATGGAATTCATTCAGTTCATAATTCCATTGCCTAAAAAAGTATAGAGCAATTTCCTAAAAGTAAAATAATTACAAATGTCTGAATGTCATTTGAAAATGTTGTATAAATTCTAAAATAATGGTTTAAAAATACATTATAAATTTACTCTGTACTAGAGATGGCATCTAATAGATCATTGTGAGGAATCCTGATAGATTTTAGAATGTTTACATCTATTTTTGTTGATCGTGTTATAATGATGGTACAATTAATTTTATTTTCATATAATCAAAATAAGTTTAATAAATTTATAAAACATAAAAAATTACAAGCCATACTTAAACAATTAAAAAATTTAGAAAATTGAGTATGTTAAAAAGGTGGTATCACTATTAATCTGTTAAAAAAATTTCCCATTTTAGGACATGATTTATTGTTAAAATATTTGGTAATAAAAAAATAACCCAAGTAAAGACCAAAATTCAAAAACTCTTTAAATTACCATCAATTTTCAGCAAACTATCTGTTATTTTTTGATATTGTTTATTAGAGTAATTTGTTTCATTTAATCCTTCTTTATCATTTTCTAGGGTAACATTATCAACATTATATAGATAGTTTTGTCCAAAGATCTTCAAATTCAATAAAGTAGATGGTGATACAGGTATTAGCACTAAATTTAATTAACATATTAAATAATGATTGCTAATAGCATAAGAGAATAATAATATTTATATACTTTATACCTGATTTTTCAAATATATTATTCAAAATTGCAGATGATTTATTAAAATTAATTGTCATATGAGATAGATATTGACAACACTGATATGGTTTAAGTGTAATGTTTTTTGCAAATCTAATATTAGATGTATCTATAATTGTTATTTTAAAGATATATTGATTCATTATTTTGCTAGGTCTTCCACTCAATTTATCAATTTCCTTTACTATATTTAAAAAAATGTTAAAAAAATATATATAAATTTACATAAAAAATTATTTGATATTCCAATAGATAAAGCCTCCAAGGTATTATCTATCCATGCAATTAAATACAAAGTCATAAAAGGGCACTTTGATTTAATACCCTTATGGTATATATCTAATTTTACTGAATTATTTAGAATATTTTTATAATGTGAAATAACAATTGCAGGATTTAGATATATAAAATTATTTGCATATTTTGATAATAAATTTTCTAAAATTAATATATACATTATTTAATAGTATGAAACATACTAGGCTCAATATATTTCAATTGATTTGAAAAAATATGGTTATCATATATAAAACCAGATAAATTGTTTTGCATCAAAGATTCTATATTATCAATAAGTGGTTGAGTACTCTGATCATCATTTACATGGATATGATTAATGTATTCATCGCAATAACATGTAATAAGACATTTTTCACATTTTTTTATACATCGAATATTTTTATTTACATCCCTTTTTCGACTCATAGTAAATTTTGAATTTATGAATGAATTGCATAAGCTAATGACAGACAGTTCATAGTGTTTATTAACTATCTGACAATAAATGCTATGACATATTATTTCTGTTGATATGACCGATTAATACAAACCTTTAAATTGTTTTTTTTTATGTTGATATAAATTGATTTTTTTGATAAATTGTGTAGATTGATTTTTTTATAAATTTTTATATATTAATATGAAAATTGTTATATAAACCTGATTTTTTAGTTTGATAAAGAAAATGTAAAATTTTAAAATATATTATATAAAATTAAAGTATTAATTTAAAATAAAATAAACTATCAATTATCTTAGAAAACTTTATGGTGGCAGTTCCGCTACATATTCGAGGAAATCGTAAATAAATAAATAAATATTAAACAGTTTCACAAAAATAATGTTAATATAAACATTGAATTTCCAATATACACAGGCAATGGCGATCTTTTTTTGAGTAGATTCGAAGACATCTTCAAGGACACTCAGATCTCGGACATTGAAAAAGCAGGTTTTACAAGAAGACTACCAGATGAGGTATATATCAAATTAGACGAACTAAATAAAATTGAGCTATAATGATTACAAAATATTCTAAAATCCACAGACAATATGATTTAAGCTACTGGAACATAGACAACTAGATAAAAAAAAGTTCTGGAATGTAATATTTATATCATTCTAAAAACACGTAAGAAATGATTTATTTGAAAAGTGAAGAATGATTAAAAAAATTTAATGATAAATCTCTAAATTATGAATAAACCTATATGGAAAATAATAATAAAACAAAGTTCATATACAAGTTAGAAGATTATTTAAAATTTCATGATAGTAAGAATACTCTAAGCTTAATAGGTAATTTACCAGATGAATTATATTTAGTCATGAAAGCAGTGTTTCCAAGAGAGTTAAATTCAAGTTATGATGAAACATTATATACATTAAAGTGTTTATGTAATTATAAATCGGCTACAGAAATAAAAGAAAATTGTTCTAATAAAAATTTTAGTGAATCTAATAATGAGAATTATTATAAAAATAGAAAATTAGATAAAGAAACACATTATTATAAAAGAAATTATTATTATAATTGTAAATCTTTTAGTAACAAAAAATTGAAAAATATTGAATTAAAACCCAATATTCAAAAGGAAAGAGATTCTTTTAAACTAAAAGAAATAAATTATATAATAAAATTTGAAACATTTGTGATTATAGAAAATAAGGTAATAAACTTTAAAGAAAATAAGGAAATAAACTTAAAAGAAAATAAGGAAATAATCATTAAAGAAAATAATGAAATAAAAAAAACTCTTACTTAAGAAAATTGAAACTTATAAATTTGAAGACAATTTAAAGTATGATTAAGAGAAGTCATATAAAAACTAAACGTCTTCATTCTAAAATAATACTCAAGGATGTGATGAAGAGATCTTTTTCTAAAAATTTAAGGCTCAAAAAATTATTTTTGGCTAAAAACAATCTTATGAATAATTAATATTTCAAAATACTTTTTAAATTAAAAAATAAGGGCATAAAGTTTAAATTTCTGAAGAGAGAGATGGATGTACAGACGCACATATCATCTTATCATCTTTTATTAAAAAATATATATAAAAAATAAAAAAAACGCTAAAAATATTATCTAACAATCTGGTTGATTTATCATCCTTATATTATTCTAACATCCAAATTTGATCGATTCTCTAATTATTCATACATTCCGAAATCCTATTTAATAATGATAATTTTACAATTGGTGATAATAACAATTTTGTAAAATTGACAATGATAATGACGGAGCTTGTCGACGAGCCAGCGTACTCAGAACGATATTAACAAACTAACGTGATAGAATCAAGCCAACGACTACAATGACTTATGAACAACTTGAACAATCATGCACAACCAAAATAAATATCATTTTCCAAGACGAACTATGACAGACTGCACGATAGATTCACATGCAAGAAAAACCTGAGTGGAGATCATTTTTTTAAAGGGTGGAATGTTGATATGACCGATTAATACTAACCTTTAAATTGTTTTTTTTATGTTGATATAGATTGATTTTTTTGATAAATTGTGTAGATTGATTTTTTTTATAAATTTTTATATATTAATATGAAAATTGTTATATAAACCTGAATTTTTAGTTTGATAAAGTAAATGTAAAATTTTAAAATATATTATATAAAATTAAATTGTTAATTTAAAATAAAATAAACTATCAATTATCTTAGAAAACTTTAATTTCAATATGTCAGTATCAGCGACAATAAATGCTATGATATATTATAATCACTAGGGTATCGGCCTAGCCCTGTCTTAGGCTGGGGAGAGTGTAGCCTGGGTATTAATATATTCCATTTACAGTAAAGTAACCTATTACTTTGTCGACTGATTTTTTATTATTTCTTTTATTTTACATTATAATTTTATTTATTAACTTAATAGTTTCCTTTATTATTTTGTTGACACTTTGAGCGATTAACTTAAAATTGTTAAATGATTATTTTTATATAAATGTTTGTAAAAAGAAATGAAATATGATAGCATAAAATATGACGCTCAATATGATCTATAACTTTTAACATTTTCTGTATTTAGATTAGTTGTTTGACTCTACCATTCTTGAATTAAACTACAATAAAATATCCCAGTCCACTTTCACCTATATTTTCACTGGGAATCACATTGCACCGAATTAGAAATGACCAGTGCAGAGTAACAAATGATGATGGATCGCAAATCATGAGATTTCAAATCAAAGTTTAAAAAAATGAAAAGTATAATATAGGTATGGAGCTGAAAAATAAAAAATAAATATTTTTAACATATGTATTGGCATATGTTAAATGAGCTTATTTTCAGTAATTTTTGAGCAGGAACAATGTGAATTAAAAATAATTTAAATATTTACTAACAATATTCAAAATAATAGGTATATGGCGAATCTGAAAGGAATTTCGTGAAACCAATTTGCTATTAAAGTAGGTCCTTAAGAATAGAGAAATAATATTATATAAATAATAAATATAGCATACCAAGTATTGTCCTTTAGTGATTTGTGCAAAATATAATAAAGACAATATTGTGCAGGAATACCAATTGGCAAGACACAAAAAAAAATAAATAATATAATACTATCTAATGTCCTTTCGTCAGATCAGATTATATTTGTATGGGTATTGTCATAAGTTACATGCATAAGTCAAGATTAATCAGACAATATACCCCATTGTTTGTAGTTCGTTTTATTATTATTCATATCTTTAGATTGTGAGAACAAATTTGAGATGAGTACACATAGATATCTATACGAAAGACAGGTTGAGGTAAGTGGGTGCCAACGCAAAGTTTGTCCAGATCTTTAACAATTGTCATGAAAATGTCTGGGCAAGTTAGAGTCAGTTGCAATTAGGAAAATAAAAAGTGAAAGGAGGGGAAGGGAAAAGAAAAATGAAGAGCGATATGAAAATAATAAGGTAAAGAAAAAAGAAGAAATAAGAAAAAGAGAAAGCGAGATAAAAGGGGTAAGGAAAATGGTAAATGGAGAGAAAAGGAAAAAGGTAAAAAAAAAAGAAAGAAAGGTAAAAATGGATAGAAAAGAGAAAAAAAGAGGGTAATCATAGAGTAAAGAAAAGGAAAAGAGAAATAAGGTAAAGAAAAGGGAAAATGTAAAAGTAAAGAGAAAAAGAAAGGAAAAGATAAATGAAAAGGAGAAGAAAAAAAAATGATTAGGAAATAGAAAAGGGGAAAAAAATAAAATGGTAAAAGTAAAAGAACACGAAAAAGAAACCTTTATTGTCGTAAACAGGCTTTCGGGCAGGTCAAGCAAAATATTCTTATAACGGAAAAGGGAAAGAATGGAAGAGTAAACAGCAAAAGAAAAAGGTAAAGAAAAAATATAATGAAAAAGGAGAGAAAGGGAAAGAATTTTTAAAAAAAGGAAAGAAAAAGAAAAGTGATAGGAAAGGAATAAGGGATATAGGTCAAAGAAAATGGAAAAGGAAGGTAAAAGAATAGAGAAATAAAAAAGAAAAAGGATAAGTAAAAAGGATAAGTAAAAAGCAGTTATAACATCTTTTCCCAACTTGAAATTATAATTATATACTATTTTCTAACATGAAGTATAAAATTCAAAACACATGATAATGATTTATCTTATTAATTATTTAAGTAAAAATTAATAGTTTATAGTATAGACTATGTGGCAATTGACATATTCATAGGTAAATTATTAATTCTCTTATATATAAATATAATACATAATGGCACAGAGATTAGAGAATATGGTTTATGCAGAATTGGGCAGGCCCTCCAAAAAAAGAATCTAAAAGATTCTCTATAAAAATATGGATATTAGATATAGATACTATTATCTTACTCAAAATATCAAAAAGAAAGAAATTAGGTACTTGTATCTTTTTCCAAATGAGGATATCTTAAATACAAGATAATTATAAAATTATCATTACCAATTAAATTAGAATAGTCAAAGATTGAGTCTTTAAGATACTTTTTAAAGTATCTACTTAATTTTCACAAACTTTTAATATTCTTCTCTGCGAAGATCTCCTTGAAATTTTTTTACAATATTTATCTATATATAAATCTCCATCATTGTAATATATTCAGGCTGTTTAACTAGGCTCAAGGGGTGTAAACCCTTGACAATAAATGCATATAACAACTTATCAATTTTATTTTGTGTAAATTAGTGCTGTAAAGTAATGTCGTTACCTTTTTCGAAGAAAAGGAATTATATTCTTTACCTTCTTCTAAAGGTAACGAAGAACGATAATGCGTTTCTTTTTTTGAGTAACGATAATCCAAAACAACTTTAAATCTTTTCTTAAAAAATAATGAAAAAACATATTTTATTGTATTATAAAATTATTTATAAGTATTTTTATATTTTTATAAATAATTTATGCCAAGTTTTTAAGTCAGATCAACCACCAAATTCCTTCATTTTTATTAATTTTCGTTGTTAAATTTCATTCAAGATTATTAATAATTAATATTTAATGAATCAAGATATATTAATTTATATTCTTATTCTCTAATATTATAATTTATGTGATAAAGAATATTATGTCAATTGTACATATTTATTCGGATTTGACCTGCCATAAATATGAAACATTTTTTACACCAATAAAAAAAATTAAGGGTATAAAGTCTACTTTTAAAATTGTGTTCCAACCCAAATATTTCTATAATTATGGAGTATCGAAACTATAAAACCATTTTTAAGGAAAAAATGGAAATAAACTGTTATAACAAGATGAAATTCTTTTTATAGCTCTGTAAAATTAAGTATTCATAAAAAGAATAACCAATTTGATGAATCTTGTAATAAATCCGAATTCAGAGATTTTCAGATAATGACAAGTCGTTCATTAGAAAACTAATTTATTTCCTGTTTGCGAAAAGATCATGACAAAGAAAAGGCAGACTTGATTCCTTTAAAAAACAAAACACATATAGATTATTTTCTAATAAAGATATAAAAAAAGATTGGATAAGAATCTGAATGAAGATCCTTTTGACGATGAACTAATTTTTTTCAAATTTTTTAATTTTTAATAAATTCCCCCTATTAAAATTTTTATTTATTAAATATAATACAATCCTTCCATAAACTGCGCGTTGAACATGTATTTATCACGGAGAAAGATGTGTTGATCACTCTTGTTTATCTGATCAAAATTTTGAAAATCCATTGTGAAAATTAAAAAAAATTATTATTAAAATATCTTATAGTTTTTTGTATTATTTTATTTATGTTATATAATATAAAAAATTTCTATACATAATATTTAATTTTTCAAGTAAAGAGTAACGCGTTATTTTCTAAATAGTCAGTAACACGTGTTTTTTTAACAAAGTAACGAGTTCTTTTTTTGATGCAACGAGTAACGCGTTTCTTTTTCGAAGTAACGTCTACAGTAGTAATAATGGTTTTATTTTATTAATAATATTAAATGCTGCTGATGTACTGGGTTGAATTATTTATTTTGTGGTGGTAAAGTTTGCTGGTTTTTTTCTCTGCTCTTTTACATACAACCAGGGATCCAAACCGAACCTGAACCATACCATTAAACCGCTTAAACCTGTATTTTTTATCAAATTTAAACCGAACCTAAACATCTAAAAATAATTCTAGCCGAACCTGTACCAACCCGCTAAAATGCCTCTGAACCGGTTCGAGTCTCATAATTTTATGCTTATAAAATAATGTGTAAATTATTACTAGTATATTTCAAGAATTTTAATTATATTCGAATTGATTTAAAGAATATTATCAATCCATTTGATTGATTATGGTCAGTCATAATTTTTATAAACTTTAGTATATTGCCATTTTACAACATATTTTAAATATTTTAAGCTAATAAATTATAATGACGAGAAAAATTAAATCCAATATATAAATTAATTATATATAGTATTATAAATGACACATCAAATCGGATATCATACAGGCAGTTCCGGCTACCCAAGTTAGTGTGGAAAGATGTTTCCCAACAATTAAATTTATATTATCTCCTTATAGATGTAATTTGAGTGAGACGAATTTTAAAAATATATTAATTGTGCGGCTTAATAAAAATTTTAAGTAATTATTTATAAAATTAGTCATTGATATTTATTTGTTATATTTATAAATTAAATATTATTTTATAATGTGCAAGGTTTTATATATGTTTTTTTATTTTAATTATGAAATAAATAAAAGTACTCTTCCCTATACATAATTCGAATGTAGGTTTGAATACAAGTCAAACCGGTATTTATAGGTTCGAACCGAACCGATATTTTTATTTTTCTACGAACCGAATATGAACCGATATTCGTTTCTGTTTGGATCCCTGCATAAAACTTATATTGGGTATAAATGCCTAAATAGCATCTCTGAATTTAAAAATATAATTATATTATAACATAAAATTATCATATAGATATTATACTTTAAAATGTTTAATTATCTTAGATACAGGTATTCGTCTGTCCAACTCTGGACACTGGTGATAAATATTATATTATGATAAATTTTTTCAGTGCAATTATTTCTTTATTTAAAGTTTTTTTGATAAGAATTTGTAAATCACAAAATTATATTGCATAATAAAAAGATAATATCAAAAATTATTAGTTATAATAATTAATTTAAAAAATAACTTGCAATGTAAGTAGTTACTTTTGACATGTAATTGGTAATTGTAATGATTACCCTTTTGAAAATGTAGCGTAACTATAACTAATTACTTTTCAAAAGTAACCTTTAATAAAATTACTAATTGTATTTGATACAACTCAGATTATTTTATTAAATATTATATCATTTATTTCTCTCAATGCAGTTTTAATTACATTTTTACTTGCTACTATTATTAAAAATATTGTCATGCATGCATTAGTGGTGTTACGCGATATAAAAAAAATTTGAGCTTCTCCAAAATTTTTGTTATGATTTCCACTATATTTTTTTATATAATTTTTCCCATAAAAAAAAGTATCATGTATAAATATGAAAATAATCTGTTAAAAAATTACTTTAATAATTCAAAATTAAAGCAAAACCCATTGGAGAATAGATTTATGCTGTTCATAATTTTTTAAACAAATTTTTTAATATTTTGAAGTATTAAAAAAATTGCTGACAATATAGCTTTATTATAATATGAATACAATGAATATTTAAATAAAATTACGTCTATATTAATAAATAAAATTGGTTACATTAATGATATTGAAGGCGAGTTAATATGTACATTAACAGTTGTTTAACTTAAAATTTTAACAAGAATTTGAGAAATTTCTTCATAATATGAACATGGAGAATCTTTTGAGTTTTTAATTTTTGAATATATATCTTCTAGTTGATTTAGCACGATTATTAAGCTTTCCGATTTGCCTAAATTATTTTTATTTAACAAAAAAATCAAGATTAAATCTAGAAAATAATTTATATAATTATTCGCTTCTTCAAATCGAGTACGAATATGGAAAGGCATAGCCTTATTATTATTTGATTAAATTGTTCGCACATTAGAAATTATTATTAAGTTAGTGAAACTTTTATTATTTTTTATATTTATCTATTCATCATTTTTTTAAACAAATTTTGACAAACTTTTCCTTTTTTAAAAACATTTTAAAAATAATTTTCGAATAGAATCGATAATTCAAGAGTCGAATATTTTATTATTCGTACAAATACAAACAATGAATTATTCATATTGCACTTATTGGATTCGTAGGTCTAATCAATATAAAAATATTATATTATAAACCTATATTTTAAATAATTGGGGCGTTTTCTTTTTTTCTAATAAAAATCACATTTATAAATTTCTTTTTTGTTTATATTTATATTCATTTTACTTATTTATATTTAAGTTTTAATTACACTAAATCTCATTATTATATAAATGATTTTATGTGATTAAGAGATATAAATTTCCTATAATTATTTCTGCCTTGTTTAATAATAGTGATTCAATTTTGTTGATAATAAAAATTAATTCAGATTCAGGTTATAAATATTAATTGTAGCTTAAAATCCCGATTTTTTAATAATAATTTTATAAAATATTAGATTAAAAGTAGCTTAACCAGAAACTTACGCTATGTCTAATAATAATTTTTGATTAATTAAATAAAGTTTTCTCATGATATTTTATTTCATTAATTTAAATTATATATAGACATGTGTGCCAACAGCATTATCGGCGGCAGCGAATCGATTTAGCCGCCACAAAATTCGGGGGCGGCGCGGTGGCGTCAAATATTTTTCTAACCTAAATTTTTTAATTAAAATTATAAATTCATTGGAAACACTTTTAAAATAAAATTTTGCTTTATTATGTTTATAACTATAATTTAATGATTTTATTTAAGTTATAATTATCATGTATAAATTTTATTTTATTTAGATTTATAGGACATAATAATGATCTTTTAGAGTTCAGAGTGAGCCGAGCTATGGAAAATACATGCTCGCCGAGTTTGCTCGTAGCTGGAACTTTCTAGCTAATAATGAAAGTTTAGGAAGATCCAATGCTCTTATCCACTTTTTTTCTAGACTAGTTAAATAGTCTTGCTGTTCCAGATTATTGTTATGAATAGATGAATGTTTCGTAGCCAATGACTTAAGATAATCAAATTTTGAAGCAACTTCCGTCGTTTCAATTCTGTTAATTCGTCCGTGTAAGGCAACAGAGAGGTGGGGCTTTGATAAAAATTGCACCGGTAATATTTCCTTTAAATATTCATTTACTATGTTTATAGATTGAAAACGAGGATGCAAAAGTGCTCCTAACACCTAAATAAAAAAAAAACAAAGAGAAAATATAAAAAAAACTAATCTATGTAATTTAAAATACTTCCTGAAGATCGGTTATTGGAAATCTATGATCAAATTTGCATATTTTGTTTAAAGGATGCTATGGGAGGTCATATTCTTTATTTTGTTTGGATATTTCTTCTTTACATGATAAGTCATGTTTGTCAAGTAAATATTTTATTGTTTTTTTGAAAAGGATTTGATTGGATAATTAATTAAAAAATTTACAAATATTATAAAGATAATCAAAAAATTTACTCTGAAAATGAATAATTATTTTCCACCATCTTTATCAAGTGTTATTTGCAAGCATATATTACAAAAGACTTTTATCTGCAGCAACTGGTTCTGTTATTATTTGTGTTAGTTTTTAATATTAAGGATCCAAAATGTTTCCATGCAAAAGAAGGTTTTGCTTGCAAGGATATACTGTATTTTGTTACAGGGTATTGCAATGCTGAATCCATAATTGTTTAAATCCTGCTATGTTTATATATGTTATAATGACAATAAAATAAAAATCATTAATTAAAAATTCCTTTTATGATAAAGAATAAATTTTATATGATGAGTTGTAGATTGCATTAAGAAAATATTGTATTACTCCTTATATAATAATTGATGGTCTTATACAAAATATTTGAAACAACAAAAATTAAAAGAATAAAATATATAATATTTCAGTGCCTTTTCTGTAAATTACTAGCCTAATCTTATCATCTAGCACGTTGGTTACTGACCTGCTCAAAGTGAGCGAACGTGTATATGGATTGTTACAAATCAAATTTTATAGCAATATTTATTAATTTTAAAAAATAAAATCGCATTTTAATAATTCAAAAAATATTTAATATTATTTTTCTTAATTACAATTCATAATTAATATATAAAATAAATATTATTTTTAATAATAAAAAATATGTATCACGCTGCCACGCCGCCTGATTTTTATATCGGCGGCGGCGTGTTGAGCGCCGACACTTTTTGGCGGCGGTGTCGGTGTGGTCAAAAATCATCGGCGGCGCACATGTCTAATTATATATAAATCACAGTTTAAAGACAAGTTTAACATAAAAAAATGTAAATCGCAATATCAAAATTGGAATTCCGTTATTTCATGGGTCAGGGAAGGTGAAAAATGTAGTTTAAATACAATTTGTATAATATGCAATATAAAATTTAATATTCGTCAGAGAAGTCCATGATGTAAAAAGGCAATTTAAAAAAATAAGGAATCATCAAATAATATTCAACCATACTTCAAAAACATTAATTTATGTGTTGATAATACTGCAAAAACCGATTCGCTTAGTTGTTTATCTACAGATTGTGCTATAAACTCATTGTCTATACTCTTTCCTGATTCAAAAGTAGCCGAAAGCATAAAATATAGAAGAACAAAGCCTCAAAAATGTCGAATTTGGCTCATGAAAACATATGGATATTTTTTTCAAAGATCATTGCGCCAAATTTTTTAAAAAAATATGCAATATTATATTCTCGTTATTTTAAAGATTTGAAATATGGTTAAATTCTCCCGCTTTTTGTTTGAATGAATCTGGCTTAGAGAGATGCCAAAAAATACTACACTAAAAAAATATATTTTAGAGATACAATTTTTAGATGCATTTATAATTAATCGATATTACCGAATTTTATTCCAAAATTTATCCATTTATCCTCGGTAAAATAGGGGCAATTATCACTTTTACCTTCTTCATCAAAGAATGTTTGAAAAATAAGCCACCTAACTATGAACAAACATGCCAAAAGAGTCGGTTGCATATCTAAACAGGATTTTGAAAGCCGCATAGTACAATCGTTACTATTTTTAATTTTGAAGCAAGTATCAACGCCCATAATCTCCGAGATAAATTTCGCAATGTAAGAGGCAAATGGCTCTACAAGATATTCATACCTGATGTCGCAGTTCTCAAAAGTTTCTTCGGTAAATTATATAATATATTATGAATTTATACGAATATACTAATAAATCTAAGCTTTATTTTCTTAGATACATTTTTCGTTCATATAAAAAATAGTATTTGAATAAAAGATTAAAATTTGTTTGGATTAACTTCCAAATTATTACTTAATAGTGATTCTGGAATATCTCTCGTGTCACATTGAGATATCAAGATTTGAAAGGAATGAATATAATTTTTGCATTCTATGGGATCCATTTTTTGATTAACTCTATATGATGTGATAAGTTTAATTATTCTTTAAAAAAAATCCGATAATATATAAAATGGTTTAAATAAAAGAATTGGTATATTGTTTTAAAAATAATTCAACATGTCCGTCTATTTATTTAAATTTTTTAGCCCGCCCACTGTTAAAAAGAGATATACAGTCAATAATTTTAATTTCAACCGATACTAGTGGTCGATACCCAAAATAGTAATTAACCTTCATAAAAAGGGTGGTTAATTTGTTTTTCCTATTTCTTTTTTACTTTCAAAATGCTTTTGCGGAATTAACTTCTTTATTATAAAGAATGAAAATTCAATAAAATAAATTACAACTACAATTTTGATATTGAAAGGCATTTTTATGGCTTAAATTAAAAATAAATATTATTGTGGAAAATAGAGATTTGGTTTAAAACAAAGTTTTTTTAATAGAAAATATTTGATTGATTGGTTTGGCTCTTTATTTATCTTAGCTTAATATTTTATTAATTATATAATATGCAAAATTATGAAATAAATAAGCCACGTCATGCACATTTTGCCCTAAAAATGTCATGCACATTTTGCCCTAAAAATATCTTAAATTTAACCACCTGCCCTGTGCTTAAAAATTTTAAACCGGCCGCCCATTGCAGACCTTTTATATATAAGAACTCGCTTACTTGAAGATTTTTGTAAGCAAATTATATTTTGTAATATGTAAAGAAAGATGATTGGATATCAAATATTAGTTATTAAGTCTTTTATCAACTAACAAAATTTGATGAATTGCCTCAAGAGAACTCTCCAAAAATAGTAGATAAGTATTTTCTCCAATATCCTTAACATCATCTATTTCGACTTCTAATAATTCATTCGCTTTATCGCTATCATCATTTTTATCTACACTTTCATGGATTTTGTTTTTGAATTTATCAATGCCTATTTTCGAACCACCACCGTATGCCTTTATTTGTAGTATATCTTTCTCCAAAATGTTGCATATAAACTCTCCGGTATTTTTCAAAAGTAGACCTTTTATTTTAAAGAAAAAATTGGCTAATAAAATATTAAAGTTTAAATAAATTTTCTTTCATACTTGACCATTATTAGCTCAGTGAATATATTACTACTAGCATATTTTTAATAGGGATGTAAAAACTCCTTTTATCTGGTTGATTTGATTAATATTTTTTAAATATTGATATTGGCCGATATTCAAACTGGCCGATCCAATATTTTATAATACTATGTTAATATTATTGATATTTCTTAAATTATATCCCAACTGCTTTAAATTATATGCATAATCATAAAAAAATATTTTTTAAGGATATCATTGAAACAATGTTAAAAAAATATAAACTCAATGAGTTATGATAGTTGTAGAAAAATATTAGCTTAGTGATATCGAACGGGACCGATATCAACTTGATATCTACAATATCAGATTAGATCTAAAAAAGGTATTTTATTAACATTTTTATCAATATATTCTTATAAAACGGTTAAATCGAGATATTCGCCAGATTTTATCAAATGGATAACAGAAAGATTAGACATTTCTGAGGGAATTTTGGAAACTTGGTTAATATTTTAGGGCTAAAAGCTTGGCTTAGTCGTTTTTCAAAAATCGACAAAATCATGGTTTTTAGAAAACATACCTTAATATTTTTTATATTTATTTTATGTATACTATTCGGAGCTTTTTCCCCCAAAACAATATTTATATATAAAAAGATATAAAAAATTTTATATAATTTTTTTGTAAAATAACTATTCGAGGAATACTTTTGTACGAATATCAATTTGCCAATAAATTCGCGTTCATTAATAAATGATTTAATTGTTTTTTGATATCCATTGTCGTTATTCACAAAATTATTCATACATCTTATTATAAAAAAATACAATTTTAAATGATAAGAATTTTTCCCCATAAATCTTACCTAATAGATTCGTTCAAAATACCTGTATCGTACGATGATATGAATGTGCTGAATATGAACTTGCTAAATATTTGAATAAAACTTTAAATTCATGTTAATATTTTAGGTTTAACAAACGTAAATTCCAGATTGGATATGAGGTGGAAGTTTATTTCGGGTACACAACTCATGTTTGCTATAATACCTAAACATATTTCCTTAATAAAAAAAATAATAAGACAGGGTTATTTAAATAATATAAATTAAAATTATGACCATACTTTAATCCTATCCGCATCCGTTTGAGAAATGATATCTGATAGGGTCATATGAAATTTTTTTTCGTCCAGCAAGATAGATATGTTCTAAAATAAAAATAAAATAATTTTTAGAATTAATGATTGAAAATAACAGGTTGTTAAAATATCTGATGCATGTATACCTAGATTACGTAAATTTGTAGTTTGTATCTTATTTGTTTTGATAAATTTTTAACTGTATTTGATATTAAAATTTTTCCAATGAAATTTTATTTTATGGCTATATGAATTTTAAAATTTTATCCTATTTTTTATAATAAATTTCTAAAATAACTGTCCGTTATTTTTTAGACGAATTAATAAAAAAAAATAAAGAATTATAAACAGGATATAAATTTTATATGATTAATATTGATACTAAGCATAAATAACCAGCACAACATCTGAAAATTCAACTAGTGTTAAATAATCGAGTTCATTAGTTCAGAACTCGGGTTATGAACTCAAGTGGTGAACTCGAGGATGAGTGGTTCATATAATTATCCTAAATTTAAAAAATCATTAATTTTTATTCATTTGATTTCCCTGGAAATCTGCAGGTCCAATTTTTTAAGCATTAACTCTTCTCTAGGGTATTTTTAAATATTTTTTTTCTCAGTACTTTTTAATACATATATTTTTTTAATTATTTAGTGTATATATCCTATTTTAAAATAAAAAAAATGATTTGACCGTTAAAAAAAAATTTTTTTAGAAGTAAATAAAAGTATGTGGAAAAACTTGCTTAACTAATTTTTTGGCAAAAATCCCCGCTTTTTCGGTAAAAACTTTGATTTCTATTGTGAACTCTTATCGTTTAATTGAGTAGAATCCATTAATTTGCAATTGTTATAGCCCCAGGTGGTGCATCCGACGGTATTTTTTAAAAACCTCATTACTTCTATATTTTTCGTACTATCTTAAATTTTGATGCTAATTATAAATTTTCAATACAAAGAGCCTATTTGAATTAAATCCTAACAAAAGTCGCCGAATATGTAAAAAGTGTAATAGATATTTTAGAGCTCACACTGCAACAAATATAACAAATTTATCAAATCTTAGGCTATATTTTATTTTTATGCCAATTTATAAAATCATGTTAAAAGAAACCATGCAGGTTAAATTGAAAATGGAGAGCGACGATTTACCCAAAAACTAAGTTGGTATTCATATACCTAAAGAGAACGAATTTCTTAACAAATCAATTTTGAGATCTATTGTAAAGAATAATATTTCATTTAAAAATACAAATAGTAAGGAGATTAGAAATATTTTCCCCTATATATTCAAGCATGATAACATCTGAACAAGACAAACAGCTTGTAAATATATTGAAAAAATATTTAAATGTCCTAAATTAAAGATTACAAAGTTAAAATAATTATAAAAGTAAATTAGCCATCACTACAGACATGTGGACATCCATCAACTCATCATCCTTTTGCGTAATTACATGCCACTATATTGATAAAAAAATGGCAAGTTTCCTTCTATATTTAATCTAGTTTCCATACCCTCATATTGGTGAGGATGATATATCATAATCTTTGTTAAAATCTCTCAGCGACTTTGAGATCCAGGACAAAATTATTTCAATGATGCACGATAAAACGCCATATATAATAAGCGCTACAGTAAAATGAATATATTTTATCATGCAAAATACAAAACAAACTTATACAGCCATCGATGTTCAGCCGGTAGTTAAAGAGGGGATTTCAGTCTTAGATAAAACTAAATAAAATAACTAATGTTTTAAAGAAGTTACATTCATCACCAAAACTTTTACAAAAATACATAGAGATATCAGGTGCAGGTGGGACCAGAATTCTTTTGGATGTAATTACTATATGGAGCTCTAAATATTTAATGATAACAATACTGAACAAACTAAGTTATAACATAATTATTATATAATGTCCAATAAAATATTTTATTTATATAAAATTTGGATGCAATTAAACAACTAAGAAGAAAAAAAGTGTGACAGAGCCTTTCAATATAAATGACAAAGGAAGTGGAAATTTTTTAAAAAGTCATTTCATAAAATAAAGTTGGAAATATCATCAGATAAAACAATTGGAATCACAGTTTTATTAGCTGCAAAGATTGATAAAATTTTAGAGGAAGCTTCAGAAAATCGTCCTAATGATGATAAGTGCGACAAGTAAAATGTTGATAAAAAATGTGCGTTATATAAAAGCTACCTGAGGCACATTCAGCAATTATATAGCTACCATGTTGGATCCCAAACCTAAAATGAAATATATATATATATATAACTTTGAAGGAAAGCAAGATTTTAATGGAAAATTTTAATCACTATTTAAAGACTATGTGTGGCCATTACGTAAAGATAATGTCTATAAGTTCTTTCTAAGTGATATCGAAATTTAGCTCTATTAAGTTAGTATGCATAAGATTAAGAAAATAATTATAAATGCTTGGATATATTAATTTATATATATTTATAAATTTTAGGGAAGCTTGTGAATTTCCAGATCTCATGAGAAAAATAAATAATATCTCAAAGTATCAGTTTCAACCAATATACTTATGTTAAACATAGGTGGCTGTACAAGCCTGTCCTATATTTTGCATCATAAAATGTATTCATTATATCTGCTTAATATTATTTTAGCGTTGTCATGCATTATGGGTATTATTTTGTCCAGGATTTCAAAGCCATCAAGAAATGCTAACAATGATTGTAATATATCATGAACGTAATGAAAAATAACTCAATTGAATCTAGTGAAGGTCACGGTCCGATCTTTGGTCTGGACTGGACCGATACCCTAGGACCGGACCGGACCACGGTCCTTAAGAAAAAGATCGACGGTCCTGGACCGGTCTTTTTATTTGTTTAAAAAACATATTTTTTTAACCTAATTTGATTTGTTTTATCATTTTATTAAATATAAGAGTATTATATAAACAATAAAATTTATCCAATGATATTGAAGAAAATGATTTTGTGCTTGTAGAGGGCATATAAAAATTAAGAGTAGATTGTGTTTTTTGAGATATTTTCATTTTCATCATTAGAAGTATATATTTTATGTTTTATCAGATGTCTGCTTAAGGTACCTAATTATTTTATTAAGAATAAGGTTAAGCAATTTTTACAATAAATTATACAGACAGTTTCTTTAAAATAATAGAACTAGATAATAACTAAAATATTTTAATAATATTATTACTTATTTTGTTAATTTTTTGCTTGCTTAAAAAATTATAAACAATTATTTTGTTACTAGGTGCTGACGATACATTAAATTTGGTACTGCAATGAACACATACTCTATGTTTTTATTGGGACTATAAGTAAAATGTTTCTTGGACAAACTTATGGTTTTCATATTGTAAAATAAAAATTAACAAAATCTAAAATGACTCCTCTAGAAAAATATCATAAAATAAAATATACAAAAAAATTATATTAATTGTATAGTAAAGCAAACTTAAACAATAATAAAAGACCGGTCCGGACCGCGGTCTGGACCGTAAAAAATAAAAAGACTGGTCCGGACCACGGTTCTTAAGAAAAAGATCGGTCCAACAATCGGTCCGGTCCCGGAATTGAATCTAACAGAAAATTTTCATTAATAAAAATAAAGGAATGTAATTAGGCAAAAAGACGATGAGTTGATTGATGTCCACATAAGAGCGATAGTTAATTTACTCGTAACATTTTTTAACTTGGTATTCAGAACTTTTATATATTTTTCCAATACTTTACAAGCGGCTTATCGTGTCTAGAATTTTAATTTTTCATTTTTAAATATGAAGAAGAAAATATTTTTAAACTCCTTACTATCCATAGTTAAATTATTCATAATAATAAATTCAAAATGAATTTATTCAGATATTCGTTCTCTTTAAGCAATCTCTAATTAAACCAACTAAATTTTTTGATATTTCCGGCTATTTTTGAAAATGGCTAACCCAATATTTTAGCCAAAAAATATTAAGAGCGTACGGAGATTTTCCTCATAGGTGGCAGAAAGGTTTGGACATCTATTAAAAGAATCTCGAGGCTTGCCTAATATTATTTTAATTTTAAATTGGCTAAAACGAGTTGTTTAACAAAACTAATGTTGGCTCTATAGGACTCTAATTATAATAATAATAGAATAGATGCATGAATACCTTTCACCAACACCGAAATCTCAGTTTATATAATAAAACATATATAATAACTTAACCATATTTTATAATAATATATTTACTAAAAAAATGATGAAATAAAAAAAAAATTACTAATTTGAAATTTTTTAATTCATCTTTTTTTCTTCTTGGATTTTAATTAGTTGTTTTATAAAAAAAAATACCTGCCGTGGAATTTTTTTTCTTCTTATATTAGAAGAAAACAAATAAATTAAAAAAAATTAAACATCGGTCTAAAAAAGAGGAAAGTATAAGAAGGAAAACCTTTTTCAATTATTTTATCAAATAAATATGCTACAAAAATAGTTTTAAAAAATATCATATTTTGCAAGAAAATATAATTTTTTTTAATGGGAAAATTGCAGCGGAAAGTTATTCAACTAATTTTTATAGATTAATACTTGGTGATGCCAAAAAATAAAAAGTATTTATCAAAACTAGTATCAATCAATATCATAAGTATTGGAGTGCATCTATATACCCTATATCAGAGTTGTTAAGGAGCGGGCTCCATTTTTTCAAAAACAGAGCGCCCTCCTTTTTTAAAATTGAGGAGCGGGAGCGAGAGCTAGCTCCTTTTAGGACTGGAGTGGAAGAGCGCCGCTCCACAATGTATAAATTAAATTATTTTTTAAATATTAATAATATTTGTTAATTAATTCAATAAAAATGAAATTTTAATTTTATTTAAATTTATTCATTATTAATTGTTTAGCCGAGTTTTATATTGGTTTTTTATCTAATCATTTTAAATATTATACATCAAGTTTTTCCTTTTTATATTGAAAATTTTTTGGAAAATCTTGTAAGTCATATTAATATTCATTTTATAGATATATAATAAAAAATCGTTTTAGATATTATGGATTTACAGATCAAGAAGAAGAAATCAAATTTCCATTTACATCAGACAAAAAATATTTTAAACTTCTAAAAAATGTTGTTCCAAATGATCCAACAAATTTAAGGACAAAATGCCTCATAAAGCAATTTAATTTTAAAAAGTGAGCAGCTTCAATCTAAAAAGGCATCTAAAAGTAAAAAATCTTTCTTTTAAATACAAAATGATTTGGAAGATTTTTTTGGATTCCATGAAATTGTTCATCAGGAAGATAATATATTGGACAAATATTTTTTAAATAATGATATCAAAATTACTATTTTTGATAAATTCCCTTAATTAAAAAATATCTTTATAAAATACAATACCCCGCTTCCCTCTAGTGCTCCTGTGGAGCACCTATTTAGTGTTGCAAAAGAGGTCTTAGGGGAGAGGCGTGGATGTTTGTTAGATTCTAATTTAGAAAATTTATTACTTTTAAAAGCTAATAAAAGGTTAATATTTTGATAGATCATTTAATATAAATAAAACCTTTTGATAAAAAATATGATTTTCTTTCGTGTACCTTCTAAAAAATGAAAATCAAAGAAGCGGTTATGGAGTGGTACTTTATTACTTGGAGCGGGAGCTAGCTCCTTTTGAGAAGGTAGGAGCGGGAGCTAGCTATTTTTAACAAGGAGCGTTAACAACTCTGCCCTGTTGGGCAGTAACGCGAATACTTGTATTAAAATACTAAATACAAATATTATTTAGATATATATTCAATATTTTTTTGAATATTTTAGAAAGAATTTTTTGTGTATTTTTTTAAACAATAAAAAATAAATAGTTTATTACAATTTGAGACGAATACAAACAATTTTCCTAATTTTTATTAAAAATCAATTTATAAATGTAAATTCATATTTATTTATTTAAAGTTGTGGCCAGATTTAGAGAAAAAATTAACAAATGAGTATTTACGAAGAAATGGAAAATATAATTTTTTTGGAGATGACATAGCAAACGAAAAAGATGTTCCACTGAGTTTCTTCTATTAAGGTATTATGTTTATAATATACAGCTTGCGGTTAATGTACAACAATGACAACATCCTCTACATGCAACTTGACAATTTTAGGCGAAATTTTTTTAAAAATATCATCTAAAATCAATAACTATAAAATCTATTCCACTCCCTTAGTTAAAATATTATGTTATAAGATTTTTAACAAAATATCTGGAAGAACCTCGGTACTCCCTACACGTTATTTAACATTATAGATGGAAGGTCCTTCATCAAAGTATATTCCAAAATTAATAATAAAACAAAATCACCATGAATTATTTAAAACTGTTTCATATATTTTCTCTATTAGATTAAAAATTCTGTGTCTGTGAAATAATTCTAATATTAAAATACTTGCAAAATACAATATTATTATTTGCATGATTTTTAAAAAATGGTTAATAAAGTATCCTAAAGTTAAAAAAATAATAATATTGGTACAAAAGATCTGCAAAGCCAGCCATAGCCAAGCTATGAATTTTAAAAAATTATAATGGGTCAGACCGAGCATTAGATAGACAATTAGTAATTTTAAAAAATTTGGCCGCATCAGACAATTTATACTACATAAAAAAATTGGCAGGGCCTTGCAAATCTCTGTTTTTCGTAAAATTTTAATAGGCCACTCCGGGCATTAAAATTTTGATATATTTCGAATTTCAAGCTAATATTTTGATTAATACTATTTGAAAATAAATTAAAATATGCTTAATTCTTTGCATTTTAAAAACTGTTTAACTAAAATACTAAATCTATAAATAATATAATAAATAAAATAAGAAATAAATAGCCGCCATAGAGGAAAGATATATGATCAATCAAAAATGTACTGAGAAAAAATATAATTTTTGATTGAATAAGTAGTTATAAACTTTGTTAATTGATAAATCCCATATTAGTATAATGTTGGAGTAAAATGGATTTTCGTTTTCATCATCATTATAATCTACTTCAAGATTCTCACTTTCAGTCTGTTTAGTGCGAAATATTATGGGAACATAGAATTGACTGTGATGGGTTATAATGTGGCCTGGAAGTTCTTTCGTCTCGATGATCTTAAGTATAATTTAATTGGTATTTAAAAATAATATATAAATTTTTAATTAGTTTTAATTAAATACTTCATAAATAAGATAAGGGTGAAACAAATTAGAGGTCTGTAATGCCCGGTAGAAAAATTTATTTAGTCTGTCCATGCAAAAAAATTAAGAGGCTAGGTCAGAGATGCAAAAAGTAGAGATGACCAGCGTGCTTATAAGATAATGAATTTTTTTATTCTAAAGCCTAATTTTATTTTTCAAAAATTTGCTTATAATTTTAATGATCAAATGACCAGCTTGCCACTATATAGTGAATTTTTTTATTCTAAAGCCTAATTTTATTTTTTTAAATTTGCTTATAATTTTAATGATCAAATGACCAGCTTGCCACAATATTTATTCATAGTTCGTCTAAAATTTTGGTTTTTCCTTTTCCTATATTTCGTATTTATTGCTGTTGTAAATATTCTTTTTTTGTAATTATTGCAAGTTATTAAGAATATTTTTATTATTATTTTATTATCCATATTAATGCATTGCTGTCCCTCATAACAGATATAGGTCTTACAGCCAAGCTTGTGATATCTGTGAATAGGATATCCTTGCACTAAATGCCAACTGTGAGAAGGAAACTGCAGTTATAAGATACCTTTTATATAAATAATTTTATGTTAAATTACCATATTTTACCTTAAGGTGAGAAATAGTCGATCTTCTGCATCAATCTGCTTATTGAAGTTCGTCACCTTAGGATTTATATCGTCATGGATGAGCTTCAGAATATAAGAGAAAGTTGTTCTCCTCATCCTTGTATAATTAAAAAATTGCGATGGAGTTAGATCTTGTTTTAGTGAAATATATGAGAATAAATTTCTTTCCATGAATATTTTAGAAGTCTTCCTTCTCGTCTTAGTAGATTTTGGTTTTTTATTAATTAAATATAAAGCAATAATTTGCTTATCTTGTAAACTTAATATATCCATATTTTAATAAAAATAAAGTCACGATTCAATTTTAAACAAAGAAAAAACGTACTGCTTTCAATTTAAACACAGATGGAGTACGTTAAAAAACGTACTGCAAACGCAAACGCTCAATTTGTGCGCACTATAAGAATTCTCTTACTGTTCTCTGAACAGTTCTTCCAACTCCTTGACTTCCTGCAGTGCCACCGGGAGAAGAAAGAGTTAATGATGATACGATTAGAGGGGCCTGGCCAGTCCAGACCGTATTACCGGCAATAACAGGGGCAGAAAATGTACAAGCAACTGTTGGGGCGCCGGAAACTGAGCGACCGGTGGCGGTGGTGGGACCATCGCAGAAATCAGCACCAAATTCTAATAATGATGTGGAAGTGCAGGAAGAATGGTCGATAGTAGATCTACCAAATTCTAATAATGATGTGGAAGTGCAGGAAGAATGGTCGATAGTAGATCTATCGGTCGAGGAGTTGGAAGAACTGTTCAGAGAACAGTAAGAGAATTTTTATTGTGTGTAAATAAATATATAATTCTAAATAAATAAAAAAGAAAGAGGGGAAACAAATGTAATAATTATATATATATAACAGTGTTATTTCCCTCGCGATAATGTTATTATTTTTTTTTAAAAAGAGGGGAAACATATGTAATAATTATTATCTATATATATAATAGCCGTAATCAAGAAATGAACGTTTTAGTATCTTGGTAATGTTAATTTTTTTTCTATCAACTTTCCTATCATCGTAACGTTAATTTTTTCACTTTCCTATCTCCTAATGTTAAAATTTTTTTTTTCTATCAACTTTCCTATCATCTTAATGTTAAATAAATCGAGGGCTATTATTATCTCGCTAATGTTAAAATTTTTTTTTTAATTTTTTTTATGGCAAAACAGGGATTCGAACTCGCGACCTATCGTTCGGAAGGCAAACGTTCTTTCCATTTAGCCCCCACCCCCTTCAATATTATATTTTGATATATTTGTATATATATGAAACTTTTTTTTATAAAATTAACTTAATTTAATCAGAATGACGGGGTTGATGGGTAATTATTTAGTTAGGTGTATATGATACTAAATATGCTTTATTAATATATTTTATAAAAATATTAAAATTTAGGAGAAAAAGAGGTAAAATTGTTGCAATGTAACACGTGAACATTAAAAGTATTTAAGGGTATTAGAAATATCAAAATTTAAATTGTGATAGAAATCATATTGGCTAAAATTTAAAATAGAGATCCTTGAAAATTTAATTTTAAATATGGGATATAGACATTGGTCTGAAAATTTTTTTTTACAAACATAGCCAGGCCTGATCAAAAAACCAAGTCCCATGCAACTTTCATAAAATTTTCATTTTTTTTATTTTGATTTAATAACAATGTCTTAAATTTAATTTTATATTCCATTTATTTCTATTGTGGGTAATTACTAATTAGTTAGGTGTATATGATATGAAATATGCTTTATTAATATATTTTATAAAAATATTAAAATTTAAGAGAAAAAGAGGTAAAATTGTTGCAATGTAACCCGCGAGCATTAAGGGTATTAGAAATATCTGGGTAAAATTTAAAATAGAGATTCTTGAAAATTTTTTAATTTTAAATATGGGATATAGACATTGGCCTGATATTTTTATTTGCAGACATAGCCAGGCCTGATCAAAAAACCAAGTCCCATGCAACTTTTATATAATTTTCATTTATTTTTTATTGTAATTTAATAACAATTTCTTAAATTTAATTTTATATTCCATTTATTTCTATTGTAATTTAATAACAATGTCTTAAATTTAATTTTATATTTAGATTTTAGAATAAAATTTAAAATTGTGATAGATTAAAATAGAGATGACATTGGCCGGGAAATTTTTTTTTGCAGACATGGCCAGGCCTTATCAAAAAACCAAGGCCTATGCGACTTTCATATTCTGATTGTATTTTTAAATGAATTATGACTTTTATATATTTTATTTCAGTTCTTCCGAACGATAGGTTGCGAGTTCGAATCCCAGTGTTGCCATAAAAAATTTTTACATTAACGAGATAATAATAGCTCTCGATTTATTTAACATTAAGATGATAGGAAAGTTGATAGAAAAAAAATATTTTAACATTAGGAGAGAGGGAAGTGAAAAAATTAACGTTAAGATGATAGGAAAGTTGATAGAAAAAAAATTAACATTACCAAGATACGAAAACGTTCATTTCTAGATTTAGGAATTTTTTTGTGTTACCAGTTATTTGAAAATAATATTTAATTTTTATTCTTTGTAACGTTAATAAATAGAATACTATGGAAAATAGACAATCTCCCAAACAATCAAAGGAAAGTATCCGCAAATTACGGAATCACATAAAATCCAAATATAATAATCCTAAATTAGTTTCATTAACTACAACTCATAATCCTAATTCAAATTTATATCTCCCAATTGATTTATCAATTAAAACTGCTATGATTCGCGCATGCATAAGCCGTTTTCATCAAAAAATTAAACAAATCTTCCCTACCACTTACACTTCTATTTTGGGAAATAGAAAAAGATTAAACATAGCAAAAGAAGTTTTATTTTCCAATAATTTAGATAAAATATTTTTATTTTAAAGAAAGTGGTCGTAAAGTGCGAAGTCATATAAAATCCAAGAAACCCAAACCTATAGTAGCTTTAGTACCTACACCTCAAAGTATTAATTTAAATAAACCTTTTCCTATTAATATATCAACTAAAACTGCTAATAACTGAACATGAATATCATATGTCAATTTTGTTTTTCCATGAATTTCATAGCTGAGAGACCGACTGACGGTAAATTCACACAGTGCTGTCATAAAGGGAAGGTTAACCTTACCCAAATACCATATCCTCCTTATTTAAAAAATCTTATATCAAACCCTCAAGATAAGTTACATAATAATTTTATGAAGAACATACGTTCTTATAATTCAGCAGTAGCTTTTGCATCGATGGGCGCAAAAATTTCGGAGCTTACAGGTATTGGCCCTTATTGTTTCAAAGTGCACGGCCAAATATATCACCGCACATCTAATTTATACCCACCTTCTAAGCCTACTTATGCCCAGTTATACGTGTTAGATACGACACAGGCTATAGATAAGCGTATACACCATCCGGCAAATAGTAAATGTAATAAATATATTATGAAGCAATTAGATCAGTTAATACGACAAATTAATCCCTATGCTCTTAGTTTTAAGACATTAGGTGAAGTCCATCAATCTGCATTAGAATTAGCAACTACTTCTAATACAAAACTCCCAACCATTAATATGATCTTTAAAGGAGATCGTTCTAGCGATCGACGCCGTTATAATTTACCATCTATGGATGACGTAGCTATGATTTTCAATAATGAAGATGGAGAGCCTCCTTTCAAAAGAGATATTAAAGTCTATCCCAAATCTAATGACAACGATCTCATTATTCTTAATGTATTGAGCCCAAATTTAGACCCCATGGTTTATCCTTTACTATTCCCTCATGGTGAACCTGGTTGGTCTCCTAATATGATCGCTGACAATTCTGACTAACAGGAGCTCTGGTAAATAATGATAGTATTTAGGGTGCTACTAAGAGATATTGTTTCATTAAAAAGAATATTCCCCATCATTTTTGACGGGTTATCAACTAGTATATATATAACAGTGTTATTTCCCTCGCGATAATGTTATTATTTTTTTTAAAAAAGAGGGGAACATATAGTATATAATAGTGTTGTTCTCTGGCGTTATTTTTTTTTGTTGTTTTCATGTTTTCTTTTATTGGGGGAGGGGGGGGGGGGGGTATTGTAAATATTCTTTTTTGTGATTATTGCAAGTCATTAAGAATATTTTTATTATTATTTTATTATCCATATTATTTTTTTTATCAATATTATATTTTGTCAATATTTTTTTTAACATTATTTTTTGGGGGGTTATAAAAACGTCGTAAAAAGAAGTAAAAACATTATTACATTTGTTTGATTATATTTTTATTCTATTTTAATTTATAATAAAAACGA